CTATATATATATTTTTACTTTAAATCATCTAATTTTAATTTAATTTTACATAAACAACATATAACATAAAGATTAGGAACCATGCAAATAAAGAAATAAAGAAATAAATAAGTAAAATTGTTTTGATTTTACCATAATCACCATTCGCTTCATAATACTTTTGAATTACTTCTAATTCAATAAATTTAACAATTAACTTTAAATGGGTGATTATAATATAATACTCAAAGCAATAATTTAAGTGGTATTAGTTCTATCACATAGGGTGCTTACATTACTTTACAATTTCTACTTTTATAAAATGCAAAAATTAAGGATAAATATGAAATGCTTCCTTTACAAGAAAAATGTGCCCTACTTTACTTTGCAACCATAGGCATTATCTTATAATTTATCAAGCTAATTATTATTATTATTTTTTTTTTGTAAAAATATCAAGCTAATTATTAACCACTGATTCAAAGTGCAGCTTCCTCTTACCATACTTGTAATCATAGGTAGGTAGCTTAACTTTTAGCATACCTAAAAATACATTGGATGTGCATGATAATAGTACATCACAAGTTATGTTACGTCTTGATTATTGAATGTTTATTAGAGATTAATGAAATATTTTGAAAATTAATTCTCAAAAATCAGGATCGGTTTAATTTGTAATTTTAAGAATAGTTTTTTATTTTCAGAAAATTGTACAAAAAAATTCTACTTGATTCGGTTTTTTAAAAATCATATTCCGATAATTCAATTATAAAAAGGCCTTTTTTTGTTCTCTGAATTTTTCCAAATAGTCTCAAATTTTTCTAAAAATCTAAAAAAATAGAGTAAGAAATTTAATCAATAAAAACTACTAAATATAAAAATTGAGAGCAATCTAAGTTCGTTTTGACAATGAAAAAAAATTTTGAAATATTCAACAAGTCGAAAAATTCTGTTTTGAGACCCTAAACAATGGTCTTTGGCCCAAATATTTACCAATAAAAAAAAAATTTCTCTTATGGATCAACAATGAAAATTTTGGGATCAACTCAGAAAAGGTAGCAGCATGTCTATTTGGTCATTTGACAATTCAAACGAGTCATATAAATTTCAACAATCAGTTTCATATCAAATAGTTAAATTTCCATTATTTTTTTGAATTGAGCACTTGCAAATTTCTTGGACCAAGCCATTCATTTGGCATGAACTTGTGCCCAACTTTAGATGGTATGAATCCATTGTGTGTTGCTGAATTTATGTCGTGATGGAGTGGACTGTTTCTAAAATCCCCACGTACCATTTGCTAAAAATCCACTAGTCCACATTTCATAGCCTTGACCATATTATGTTTTCAACTTATGGAATCAGTGACCATCCTTTCTGCCCAATTTTGACTTGGTCAAATGTATCCAATTTTGTGCAATCTTATATATAGATTTTACAAAATTTCTTATTCTCGTTTTCAAAAAATCCACAGCAATGGAAATTTTAAGTTTAATGCAAGGCAAAATTTTTTTTTTTTTTTTTTTTTTTTTCCCTACTTAAAAATTGCAATGGTCAAAGTTTGAACAATCAAAATATAAAAGTGCATATTCGAATACGGGTGCAAATTCAAGTACAACGATAATTCAGGAAAGAAAAAAAAAAAGTACAACGATAATCACATTATACACAAAAATACCAAAATTTATGTATGCCCAATTTATCTTCCAAACTTCTTCGTTAATAATGACTACTCTGGTCTGAGTATGGTATTTTTCTAATCTAAAGGTGAATTTTAAAACTTTAACCATATTTTAGAAAATTAATTAAATTATTAATGGTAAGAGACATTGCCTTGGTAGAAAGAAAATTCCCTCCTATAAATAATATATCACGTTCTGTCTAGTTAAAAATGTACTTTACAAATAGATTATATGTGGAATTGGACTAAACACGTTTTACTATTCAACCGAAGGGAATTTGAATCCTACCTAATAGTATTAAGTATCATAATTCTTCAATAATTATTTTCAGATTTGATGAGACATAAGAGGAGTGCATGTGAAGGAGAGAATTGCCACTGTACAAGTGTACAACATGTCAACATGATTGAGACCGAAATGAGAATCTCTCAAACATGTTATTTTTAATTAATAACTATAAGATTAGTTCTTCATAATCTAATTTTATAGGAACCATCAATGTGTCAGATGGTTCATTTAAAATTGAAGACTGGAAACACCATTGACAAATTGGTCTGGGATGAGACTCACAACAATCAAACAGACCCCACAATGACATCAATTCAGCAAAGAAGCAAATGAACCTTAGTTAGTGGCCATCCTTGTCAAGTCCCACTTTATATCTAATCTTCATATTGTTACTTAATTATCACTTGATTCTCAAAGAAAATCATGTAAAATCTCATCTTCCACAAAATTCTCTTGCTTGATCATTGAGTAAAGAAATAAAATTAGAGAAAATTCAAACCTCACACAATATTTCTTACCTTTTATGTAACACTTTTTATATATATATATATATATATATATATATATATATAAAGAGTCGGTCTACGAGATTTAATATTTTTTGGATTGGTCTGCTAGGTTTAATATTTTCTGAGGCGCTTGACGAATTTGAAGTCCAAAATTTTGAGAGATCCTAGTAATACAGATTTTTAGACCCAAATTAAAAGCCCTAGGCGACTGTCTCGGTCATCTGGGCATATGACCGGCCCTATATATATATATATATATATACATTTGCTTATATTTAGAAATAAAAAGATAAATCATAAATATATATATAAATATATATATATATATATATTTATGATTTATCTTTTTATTTCTAAATATAAGCAAATGGGTCAAGTGTTTAATCTTAGGTCTTGGTCAAAATATTCGAGCCTAGTGAGTAGTGAGCAGTGGCCAAACTTTTTTATTTTCTCACCCACTCTACTGTGATGACCTATGTAGCATACTATCTTAAATCACTTTTCCTTTTTGTTTTTGGCCCAACCTTATGAGAAAAAGGTAGAGAATGGCTCTATCCAAATCAATATCAAAGAATGCTTCTGTTAGACAGCAATGAGTGGAACCCAACATTGGTCATCATGAGGAGAACAACCCCTTATTGACATTTTATGTTATGGTACCGGTTATTTCAGAAATTATTATATGTTCGGGGCTAATTACAATATGATATGCAAGAAAATTATTAAATAAAAGGGCAATGTTTAGTTACTCATGAGGAAGTAGGATGAAGCTACTCACTTCTATGTGATCCAATAACAAAATAACACATCACCTTTAATAATAAAATAATTCACACATTTTTTTGTTTTCTCAGATCAACCATTGAATAAATGGTATATAGTGTTTTTATGTATGAATTATTTTATTTTTAAATATGATGGGTTATGTTATTATTTGACTATATAGGGTGAGTAGCTTCTCCCTACCCACCAGTGAGTAGTTAAGCATTATCCTAAATAAAATTGAAAAAAATTATTACATAATTTTGGAATTTTGGTCCCAAGTCAATGATGCGCGGACACATAAATGTATGTGTTAACTTTAACTCACTTTTTTGCTTATATTTTAATGTGTGATTGGTCGAGACCAATAATCTCTCATAATTAGGTCTACTTACATGATAGGTTTTGATTGGTTAAAACCATGCAGGACCATGTAATAATTTTTCCTATGTAATCTATGCTTGTCTCCAACTCTCAATCCTTTTACACTCACGTGAGTTTTTATGGTAACATTTATGAACTTTGTTTATTATTTATTGGATTAAAATACTTTTAAAATTTGTAAATACATAAATATTTTTTAATAATTTTTTCAATCCAAGGATCAACAAAAGAAAATTCATTTTGTATGACATGAGCCTCTTGATAAGCCGCCCTTAACTTTGCTCTTGTTTTTCATTCTCCCAAGCTAAAAACAGGAGAAGGAATTCAAGCACTAAAGAATATTTTTGGCATATTATTTTGTGCCAACTCTTGATTGGATCATAGAGCTGGCACTTTATTGTCTTATTTACGAAAAATACACATGGCTTCTTTGAGTGATCCAACACATAAAGGTAAACCATTTGCCCAATTTCGAACAACTCTAGCTTTATATTATTTTTAGACAAAAAAAGGTTATTTATTTATTAATTTCATTCCTATGTTCACAGTTTTTTTTTTTTTTTTTAAACAATTTTGAAAAATATTACACCATATTATTCATACAAATTTTTTATTTTTTTTGACAATTATTAGAGAGTTAAGAATTAGTGGTATTTACGGGGAAGGAGATACGAACACGGAGGAGTTAATGGAGGTTAGAGGGAAAGGAGATTCGACCTTAGAAACATAGGGCGAAAGCACTTAAGGTCTGACCTTGTACATTCGTGGCCTAGCGGTACAAGGCTCCTACTTCTTAAAGGAAGGTCATGGTTCAAATCTATGGAGGCAGTGTGTATGAGTCCTAATTAAGAAAAAAAAAAAAAAAAAAAAAGTTCACAGGGATGATATCATTAAATAAATAATAATGATAAATAATTTAAAAGTTGGATATATTCAACTATCTTATATGAATGGAGATGTCATTCTTGCTCACATAAATTTAATTAGTTGTGTCTGACTCTTTGATTATGGATCAATTATTACTAATAAAATATTTCTCATTTGATTCAAAATTTTAAATTATTAGATAATACTTATGGATTGTTATAAATTTAAAGCGTATAGAAATTCGATGTGAGAGATGCAACCGAGGGATTCAAATTCATGTGCTTAATACCATAATCTTTAATCCACATAAGGCATAAAATCTAAATTCTAAAGGCTTAATTATTACTAGTCTATATACGTAATTGACCAAAGATCTAGTTTGAATCTTCGATATCGAGAAAAGTATATTCATTGAATGGCTTCGATCTTCTGATTAGTTTGACCTAACCTCAGAATTCCCAGTAGTAATTTAATAGCGTGAGACCCCAATTATATATTATATACATATACAGATATATACAGTATACACATACAAATAGAGAGAGAGAGACTTCAGTTACGGATGCAAAGGTGAAGTGTGAATTGTGAAGGGCAAAGACGTTTAAAATTCAAGAGAGAGAGAGAGTCGAACAACAAACAACGCCAACATCACATGGAAGAAGAGCGATCTCCACCACCTCTCCCGTTTATTCTCTTCACCTGTTAGGTTTCTTCTCTCTCCAATTCCTCGTTTTTATTTCTCTCTCTAGACGCCCGCAGCTGCTGCTGCTGCAATTCTCGTCTCTCTCTAGAAGTGAAGTGGGTTTTGTGGATCTTGTGGTTGGTTTTCATTGATCTGGGTGTGATTTAGAATTGGGGTGATCTGTGGCGGCGAGAGATGGAGGAGAGTCGGTTGCTCCAGTGGAGCGTGGTCCGATCGATTCTCGCTATCCTTCAATGGTGGGGTTTCAATGTCACCGTTATCATCATGAACAAATGGATCTTTCAGGTTTGTTTCTCTTTATTATATTCTTATCAGCTTACGCACATGTGTGTGCTCTTATGGATATTATATTCAATGGGTTATAGGCCTGCTTAATTTTGTATAACTTTTCGTGATCTTCACATTAGGTATTGTGATTGTGTCTATTGAATGTATGATTGTGATTAATTTTGTGAGAATTGTATAAGATTTGAAAATTTTCCCTTCTAATTGTGGTGATTATAATGCAGAGTGTTGGGTGCTAGAAAAGAAACAAGAAAAATGCATTCATATTGCTGGAATGAGAACGTTAAAATGGATGTTTGGAGTGACTCGACGTTACATGATAATATTCAGATTGAGGAAGAGATTAGGAGTAAGCGTCTATTAGTGATAAAATAAGAGAAGGTAAGCTTATGTGGTATAGACACATACACCTTAGACCAGCCGGGTGAGAAAAGGAAGGATGGTTTGCATAGAAGGAAAGAGGAATAGAGGTAGACCAAATTTAGTATAGGATGAAATAATTAGAAATGATTTTAAAAATTTTGAGTATAAGAGGAGACATGGCTTGTAATAGAAAATAATGGGAATAAAGAATTCAATATGGCAGACTCTATTCATATGGGATAAAGGTAAGGGTGATCTGATGATGTGTTTTCCTTAACTCAAATTATAGTATCCATGTGGATTGTGGTCGAAGTTTCCAAGTTAGTGCATTAGCTGTGCAGGATTTTAGAATAGTGATAATGCCTTATCTGCATTAAAGTGTATGACTCTGATTCAAATCTTTTGCTGCAATGATACTTAGCTCATCCTTCGTTTTAATGAGCAAGAATTAGATAAAGGTTATCCCTATTTTTTCATTCTGGACTTTTTTGTAATAATATTCTTTTCTACTAAGAGAAAGGCAAATTGGATCCTAAGATTATTGGAAACTACATGTTGGAGAGTGGAGAGAAAGAGTAACACGAGCTGAGGGAGTGGATTAGACTAGCCATACTTCCTTACAGAACAACTGTTAGACACTAAACATATTCTATGGGACTTAATGTTGGATAGCTAAGAAACAATATATTCATAAAATGACTGTAGTAGAATGTGAATGTTGAGATAGATCATAGATGTATGGTAAGACAAAAAAAGGTTGAAATAAGAATGAAGACAGTGTATGATGACTGAAAACCAATTGGAGAAAAATGAGAAAAACCGATTAAGATTGTTTGGCCATATTCAAATAATGACCAATAACTGCGCCCATTAGGAAAATTGATGTAGTCTTTATTGAGGGTAATTTAGAAAAAAAGGGAAGACCAAAATTGATATGGAATGAGATAGTTAGAAATGGATGTAATTTAATTGAGGTTATGGCCTTAGATAGAGCCGAATGGCAAAACAATATTCATGTAGCGCAATTGAAAATAGTTGACAACATGCTTTGTTGAGTTGATTGTATTATGGTGGGCCTATTTAGTAGATTTTGGAGTCTCGGTCTTTATTTGCTTCTACGTATTTTTTGGTTCAATTTTTCATAGAATTGCTACTTCCAACATGAATTTCCGAATTTAATACATAGTCTTTGAATCAAGACAAAATTTGAACTAGAATACAATAAAGTTGTTGAAACTGTGTTCTATTAGAAGCACATATTTCTCCAGGGAACGATGGGACATGGACACAAGGGGTCGTTATGACACAATCAATAATTCGATTCGTTTTCAATTAGATCTTGCTCTAGCTTCGTTAGGGATTTTTACTTCCTTGGTACCTCAAGCCATGTACTCTTTACATGTTTATGCATTTATAGCGTAAGACTTTACTACTCAAAATTGCATTATATACCATCTCCAGTACACCACAGGATTCATCATGACAGGAGCTTTTGCTCATGGAGCTATATTTTTTTACCAGAGATTACACTGGAAGGCTGGCTGCGGCCACGATGATGGCAGCCACAACATTTTGTTTTGTTCTGCAGGCCTGGTTTAAAGTTTTGATAGTTCTGGAGAAGCATGCATACTGAGTACTGTCAACTCTCTTTGAAACTCAGTAGTTTGGTTGGTTTTAGGTTTTAGTCAATGTTACCTTCAAAAGGTGTGGGTTCAGGTTGACTGAGGATTTGGGGGTGATTATGTTTTAGACAAATCGAGGATTTGGGTGTGATTATGTTTTAGACAAATCGATATGGTATTAATATCATGTGCCTGTAATTCTGACCATGAAATGTATTCTGGAATTGTTTATCAGTGGTAAAGAGTCCTATTCATAGAAGCCACTAGAAATATAAGATGCAACTATGGATATTCTACAGTTTAAACTTTATGTGCATGGGAGTCAAGGGTAAAAGTTAGAATTGGGTCGGGAATGGCAAAGGAGATGGTTGTGCGATGGAATGGAAATCTTGGATTCATTTTTTTTTTTTTTTTTTAGTACTTCAAATCAGTTATAAGTCATATATCCATATACCATTTTTTTTACCAGCACATCACACGTCTTTTTTATATTTGTCTTTTATCTCTTAATTTAATATTTTGTTTCTGAAATTGCAGCAAAATTGATTTTGTTTTTTGGAACAATGGAACTACATGATGATCCTGTACTTGTGTCATTATTGTCATATCTTATGGTTTTCTGACTTTATGTCCTTCACAGAAACTGGACTTCAAGTTTCCTTTGACAGTATCAAGCATACACTTCATATGCTCATCTATTGGCGCATACATTGTAATAAAGGTGCTCAAACTTAAGCCACTTATTGTGGTTGACCCTGAAGATCGTTGGAGAAGGATTTTCCCCATGTCATTTGTGTTCTGTGTCAACATAGTGTTGGGGAACGTGAGCTTGCGTTACATTCCTGTTTCTTTTATGCAAACCATAAAATCATTTACACCTGCAACAACAGGTTTGGTTCAGATTAAACCTAACAAAATTTCTTATTTTTCTATTCTGAATAATTCCCCTTTTCTTTTCATAACTGCATCTGATTCCAATGCATTTGAAACAGTTTTTTTGCAGTGGCTAGTTTGGAGAAAATATTTTGACTGGCGAATTTGGGCATCACTGGTGCCCATTGTTGGAGGAATTCTTCTTACCTCCATTACAGAGCTCAGTTTTAATATGTTTGGATTTTGTGCTGCCTTATTTGGCTGTCTTGCGACTTCTACAAAGACTATACTCGCAGAGTCTCTGCTGCATGGCTATAAGTTTGACAGGTGTTGCCTCCTTCTTTTTCCCTTCCAAATACAAATATATATATATATATATATATATAATAAAAGAATCATTTGGTTTGGTTCAGATTTGTTTTCAACCGAATGTTATCTTAATTATCAAGAAGAGACTAGCCAACCCAGCTGCCCTGTTTGGGTTATGCATATTGTGTTTATTAAAGTTAACAATGCATAATAGGTTACCAATTTCTCCTCTCTAGATCGGTTTAAACAGAATTCATCAAACTCTGGTTGAGCCATGTATTTTATTCTTCTGCAGCCTGTAGTTACAGCTTATTATAGGTTTGTCTTGTGATAATTTTCATATTTTATATTATCCTAGATCAGTCTTGCTTGTCAATCTTAAGCTTAGGTTTGCTGACATCTCTTATCACTAGTGATTATTATTATTATTTTTGGTTCTTCATGAGATAGAGACATCACACAATCACATCTATCCTGCTAAAATGGTATACGTGCATGACTAAGGTGCCTTTTGGCAGGATCTCAGACTGGGCTGCTTGTCCTTCAATGTGAACCAACCCCCCTACTGATGTCTCTTTTATTCATGTTCTATAATCTGCAATATGTTGGAGGTTTAGGTGGGGGGTTAAGGAAGTCACATTTTTATCATACATATTCAGGAGATTGGGTTTTTAGTAAATTCGAGCCTGATTGGTTAAATGACCTTGTCAATCTAACTAGAAATTCCAAAATTCAATTCATGTGACTACAAAGCTGGTTTGAGTTATGTAAATGTCGGGTATGGATCACTTGTACACTCCCTGTTGCCATAAGAGGATTAGCTGGTCAACTGGGACATTCATTGAAGGTGCACATTGCATTGGAACACGGTCTCACACTTCAGTGCACAACTAACTGTTGCTAGAAAGCTAATCTAGAAAGTATTTGCATAACAAATTGGTGAGTAGGAACACTGACGAGATGAATAATAGAATTAGAGGATTCAACAATAAAAATGAGAGGATAACTACTAAGCTTGATGTTTTCCTGCTGTATGTGTTCTAATTTTTTGAGATTTGACTTATTGCCGTGTTAATGTCATGTCGTACCCATCTTTTGTCCGTATCCGTGCTTCCTAGCTTAAAAATAGTGGATGTAGTCTAGATGAACAAAAAAGAGAAACATAGAACGAGGTGGGAATAGTTGTAGATTAAAAAGATATAAAGCTAAGTTTTTGGTAAGAAATATATGGGTACAAGAGTTATCAATTCAATGCCAGAGATCCACAATTATATGCTATTCAATTTGGTTCTGTACCTTCATTTGATAGCCATGTTGTTGTTGTTGGACTAGAAAGATAATTAGGAAACTTATAACAGTTAATCCTGTCCCAGCCTGTCATAAGATTCCAAAGAACCATTTCTTTTTCCCAAATCTTCATGTCAATGAAAATTAACATAGGGGAGTTTTTTAAATAGCTGATTGAATGCTTCCATTTAAGTGCCCGCTGTGCTCTAGCTCCAGAATTGGCATACATTCACTCTATTGAAGATAATTATAGGTCATTTTTTGGCTTGTGTGATTAATTGTATATGGTTAGTTCTGATCTAGTGAATATTTCTGTCTGCACTTTAGCATAAACACAGTGTACTACATGGCACCTTTTGCAACTATGATCTTGGCTGTCCCTGCGCTACTACTTGAAGGATCTGGGGTTTTAGAATGGTTTCATTCACAACAATCTCTTGCCTCACCCCTCATCATTATTTTTGGCTCCGGTGTACTGGCTTTCTGCCTTAACTTTTCTATCTTCTATGTGATTCACTCCACAACTGCAGTCACGTTTAATGTCGCTGGTAATCTTAAGGTGAGATTAGTTTTGACAATCAGATACATCATCGTTTCACATGTTCATCTCATTTTTATAGCTGTTATTGTCTATATGCTAAACTTCTCCTATATATTAAAATTATTTTTTGAAAATAATTTTTTCAGTATATTTGGCGGATTTTATTACATAATTTATATTGTTGAAACAACTCATGGGTGTGTACTGTTTGTCAAAGCCCCAGTATGCCCTCTTTATCATCACCATCTTACATAAAAACTCTTCTTCTATGCAGGTCGCAGTTGCTGTTACATGTTCATGGCTGATATTCAGAAATCCAATCTCAGCTTCAAATGCAGTTGGCTGTACGGTGACACTAATAGGATGTACATTCTATGGGTACGTGAGGCACTTGCTCTCCCAACAGCCACCTGGAACTCCTCGTACACCCCGGACTCCCCGGAGCTTGAAGGAATTGATTCCCCTCGTTAGTGAAAAATTGGATGACAAGGTTTGATCAGTCGCCCCAAGGAAAAATATATATATGTGACAAGGTTTGATCAAGTAGTGATGCTAAAAGGTTCCTGGCTGTTTTGGAGAGTGATAATAGGACAGGCAAAGGAAAGAAGAAAAACGAAGTCCACTTCTTTGTTGGTGTAGACTTCCATTAGATTAATTTAAAATTTAATTTATGTTCATTTCTTTTTCTATATGGCCTCAAAAATTCTTCATGTTCTTATTAATCTTTATTCTGAGAAAGTTCTTAATGGTAATTTCGTCTTCGAAAGACTATATAGAGGTCGGAAAGTGAATTTGTAGATCAATAGTGTGTGAAACATGTGAATTTGCATATCGATAGTGTGAAACAAAAAGTTAATATACACTTCTCAAATTGTCACTATGCAGTACCAAAAGTACATGAGAAGAAGAAACACACCAAAAGATCAGAGTATTCTCACCTATCAAACTCACACACACACACACAAACACGCCATAAGATCTTTCAGAAAGAAAGGAAACAAAGCAAAAGAGAAAATATGGAAGTCTTATTTGAGCAATGTTTAATCTGTTTGGTCACGGATTCTTTTATAGATACATTGACCGCACACATACACACATATATATACACACACGCATAACACATACAAACTACTAAACATTATATAATTACAAAGTAAACTGACATACCTCAAGCTTACAAAGTTACAAGCCTTGAAAAGCCCTTGTGTGGAGGACTCTCTTCCTGGCCTCATAACCAACCCACTCACCATTCTCAATACTTTCATACATTTTAACCCATCATTTCATTTGCTTCCGACTTCCTTCACACCCTCTAACCCCAACCCATCTATTGGATATGTTGATTCCCAACCTTCTCTCACTTAGCTGCGTCTAAAAAGACCCCGAGCTTTGCATTCTATCTCACACCCTTTTTGACCTATCACTCTCAATGTGTGTAAGGTTTAGTGAGATGAATATATTTTCAGAGCATTTATTTCTACCAGTTGACATGTGAAGAAGAAAGTTGAGAGAGAGAGAGAGAGAGAGAGGGGGGGTCGGCACAGATAAAAGTCACGGGAATCACTAGCTACTTGTGCTTTGCGGGCATTACCATAGATACATACAGATAGACAAGTCACTATAATCCGAACAGGCTTCTGATAATGAAAAAGTAGATTCTTTGTACTACTTTTTAACATTATATCAGATCATTTTCGACATTTTCTCAAAAAATCTTTATTTACTAATAGTAGCAAAACTGGTGAAGAGAGAACCTCATACTTCTAAACTTCAGAAATTATTATGAAAAAAAAACCCCAAACTTAATCAAATCTAAATATTGATCTAAGTATAACCGAAAGGAGATATCCTAGCATTGTAATACTTCTTAATTTTACCATCATACTTTTGTACTGGGAAAAAAGCAAGGCCTGCAACCATATACTGTATATACATACACTTACATATGCAACAACTCCGGGACTAATTTTGATTAGCGGGACTAATTTTGATTAGCCAGCTTCCAATTACAAATTGCACTTGAAGAATGAGACAGCTAAAATAATTACTTTACAACATTTGAGGACTAACAAAAAGGACCTGAGACCAAAAATTTTATTTCACCAATCACTTTTGGCATTGTATGATTCCGTAAAAGACAAATGAAGCTCTATAAGATTTACAATGAGGGAGATTAGTTAACTTGTATCCCATGTTGGGATCAGCATACTTATTTCTGTTGGCCTCTTTCTCATCCTTCATCTGAAAAGTTAATCCGTCAGTTGATGCCGGGCCATGGTCACTGGCGGCACAGTCCAAACCGAGTAATGGCAGCCGCTGAATGGCCTCTCTCAAATCTGCTTTCTATTAAATGTTGGTTTCCTATAATAATTGTATTGAGCCAATCACCACTTCATGGACATAAGATAAAATGATCATTGCATCCACGGTTGATTTTCCTTGATTGGGGGTCCTATCTGAAACTTGCATCCCCGGGTTAGGATGAATCTTTCTGATAGCAATTATTTTGACCCAGCAACGAAATATCTTCCGGGGACAACATCAGCGCACCAGCACCCAAGTAGTGTCGTGCAGCACGTTTCCTGCAGTGCACCATTTTGTAACTTTGTTTATAACATGTAACATTTAAGAGGTTGCAAGAATGCCATGTTGAAATGACAAAAGCACATACCTTCTTTGTTTTGTCTTGTCAAAGGTTCTTGATAAACGGGAGGCTTCTAATCTTGAAATCTGGCCCAATGAAGCAATATATTCATGGAATGCATTACCTTTCGATGCTAAGTACGATCTTGAAGGAATTATGGACTGAACTATGTCGCAAAGACACGACTTTAATTCACTGCAACATAGGCACAAGGAAAATGCACTTTTAGTTGCATCTGTGTTAACACACAAAAAATTGTCGATCCAAACAAGCACTACATTCAACATTTATGGATCTCGCCGAACCAGATGGGAAGTGTTGCATTAGATTTGCAAAGGCTTCCTGAAGGGGAGATGGAATTAATTAGCTAGCAAGCTAATTAATTGCACATATAACCAAACTTTCATTATGACATCCCTTTTAGTTTTACTGTGCCTTTGATCTGTTAATTATCCACATCAATATGTCAAATGCAGTATGCTAGAATGCACATCAATGTATGTGAGCACAACTAGTAACATGGAAGTCAGTGATTATAATCCTTTACCTTTCCAATGGAATGCCTCTTCTTGGTGGCCCTATCTCTGAACTCCTAATGGTTCTCTTATCGTGATTGACCAATTTCCCTAATGCCATTGTATTAGTTGAGGATTCTAGCATCTCAAAGACCAAATCCACCCTGCTCAAGGAATCCATATTTGATCCTAAAGAAGCAATTTCCTTCGAATAGAAGCAAATCCCGTGTTGCGCAATTGTTGATGTCATCTGCAATTGGTCATCGTACCAGCTGAATGGATGTGCTTCCTCGTAACGAACTTTTGACGATTCCAAATAGTCCTGCAAGATTACTGACAAACCATAATGGACAGCACATACGTAACGTAAAATTAAACTGTCTTCCAACATCTAATACAGAAATGATAGTATTATATTTTATAAGCAAGAGATAAAATGCAATAATTCATAAATAACATTATACTTACACAAATCAGTGGTTGACAGTCACCAAGTAACAAATCTGCTTCTGAAATTAGATCAGTCATCCCAGAGGCAAGTTCCAGAACTTGGGATGCATCTTTCAGTTCTGGGGTGACATACTGTCTTAGGTCTGTGTGACACGCACGAAGTTTCCTCCATGTTTCTTGTACAGAATCAGTCGCAGCCCAGGACAAAGGCTTCTCAATGGACTTGGATCCCCTGCAGAAGTCCATGCGACTACACTCATCCATCACTTGATACCCTCTTGGAACAGCCTCCATTCCCTCAATGTGAGAATCTCCCATCTCCTCTCCGTCAACCAATACCGTATCTATATTGCAGGTATTTTCTGTGATTTCTGAAATTTTATGTAATCCAGGTGAGAATTTATTAAAATCGTTAACTTCAACCGGCAAAAAGTTTTGCATTAAATCAATGCTTGCAGAAACTGCTTCTTCTATATCAGCAACACTACCACAAGACACTGTTCTAGAAAACAACAGGGTTCCATTATTAATCTGAGTCTCAGGAACAAAAGATGATTCTGGCACAACGGATACATCAACTGACTTGCATGTAACATCAATCTGTGAACGGTCTGCTGTTTCTGATTGGTGATAATGATTTTCTTCCAATGTCTGCCCTTCGGAATGAAGTAGCTGCTCAGATAATGGGTTGAAGCACCTCTCAGCTGATTGATAATTTGGAGACTTTCTGTTCACTTCAAGTATTTCATTGTTAGTACCCTCGAGTATACTTGAAACCACGGGAAACCCATCACCAAAACATTCATCTCCAGAATCGGAATACAGTACTGTATCGAGTTTTCTCCGAACATTTCTCCGAGCAAATGCAACTGGGGAGCCTGAGGAATTGGAGAATTCACATGCTGTATCAAACGGAGCTGCAAAACTATTGTCATCTTGAATGGAGCAGTGCCTGCTTAACATTGCTTCTTTCTTGGCCTCAACACTGTTCATTTCGTTGTCACACATCTTTGCACTGTTCTGCATTTCATTATTGTTTAGCTCTTCTTCCTCAACCAACTCCATTAAGCTAGACCTCTCTTCCATCAGCAACAATGACTTGGTGATCTCCTGCTCCACGAGTTCAGACAATTGAGAAGGGTAACCCCAAGGGATAACTTTTGGTAGTATTTGATGTCCAGCATCAAGGTCAAATAACAATGGATCATATATTCTCTGAACTATATTATCTGGACAAATAGAGAATATGACGTAAGTACTTCTCACTGTCATTACATGCTTGTTTGATGAAAAAAGTTGAACAAGAGATGAATTGTGAATGCAAATCAATTGCTTAAATTAGAAGCTCCATCACATTCTCATTTGCTAAGCAGGCATTTGGATACCACACATGAATAAAACCATTCAATTTGTGGTTTTACAAAGCAATAAAAATCACGGACCCGTTATTCGAAATGAAATGAAACTATTATTTTATGTCATCTTAACCAAGCAAAATAAATGATGTTTTTATCAAGAAGCTGGGTTTGAGGTCCCTTTAATTATAAAATAATGGTCTCAAGACAACCAGGGTAGTTGGGCTGGTGGATGGAGGGGCAAGGAGGGAATGGTGATATTTGATAAGAAACTAAATGTACCTTTCCAATATCCACATATAATACTACAAGTAAAAAAATTACTCATTTCACATAACATAGAAAAGAATAAACTTATCAAATTCTATTTACTACCAAAAAAAAAAAAAATGAGAGAGAGAAAAAAAAAAACCTTCCCCTGCATCCAGAATTCCAGATGATATAAGTGAAAAGAAACAAGTCCAGGAAAACCAAGTGCGCGAGTTTTATCACCATACTGAAATATAAAGCTGTATTCATGATCAACATAAGCTTATGCTGGAGCCAAAATGTATTTGTAGGACTTACCTTTCCTATGTCTTTGACCCTGGCACCAGAATTGGAGATGCATAATGGTTTTACGAATATCTCTATGACAATATCCAATAAACCGCTCTAGTAAGCAAGGTTGAATATTGGCTTTTTCTGCAGCACAAACCTGCAGAGAAATTAAAAGTTGATTTTAATGAAAACAGATATTCATACGATGGAAAACCTGGGAAAAGCGAAAATGCATTGAAAATTCATACTCTGTACGCATGGTGAAGAAGCTCCTTCGATGATGGTAATGTGAAACACACCTCCAGCCTGTCCAAATTGTTTGGGAGGACAGGATTGTTACCTAAAAATTATCAAAACACAGTAGTTAAATCTTGAATTAGAAACATGATGTAAGAACAAAAGGAAGTTTAACCTATAAGCCTTTCTTACTATTGCTGGTCAATATCATAGGTCGCTTTGCAGTCTCCGCAAGTTGTTGTATTGTAGCAATAAAACCACGATCTTCATAAATAGTAGCATCCACATCCTCGAAGAGAAGTAACGATTTGATTTCACTTTGATCACTAGCACTTCTATTGTCGCATACAAATTTCCCAGGAATTCCACTGGTAATTTGAGAATCTTCCTCATCTGATAATGGTATCAATTCAAATACTTCATCCTTGAACTCTTGGACTGCTGTGGTATCATGCATGATGGGCGAGGATTTTAGGATCTTGCTCTCGGAACCCACAGGATTTTCTACTGTCCTGGAAGAAAATCACTATTAATGTGGGACGAGTAATTTGAATTCTTGCTTGAGATTTCATAATGTCTTGATTTTTCTTCAAGGTTTTATTGGTCATAAAGAAATGATGGCTAAAATACATTTACCAGGAAACTGACACAAGTATGCAGAAGCCTGTTGAGATAGCATTTAAAACCCAGTAACAGAGAAGTAATCTTAAAAGTCGGAATTCTTGGAAGAAGAATGACGCGGTAACCTATTGTCACGCTGCTAAACAAAGCTAAGGTAGATTGCTTTATATTACCAGGTATTATCATACGTAAGCCAAAAGTAAATATGTTCTAACAGAATTGCAAGATTTTTCTACAATTATGGACACCAATTTTTCTCTTTTACATATTACAAGTACACTGTACTATAGGAATGCTTCAGTCCTTTCAAGTGAAGGGTCAGTAATCAAAAATTAAAATACAATACAAATTATTCAATCAACATTGCCACAGCCCATTATGATTCAGTAGTATTTTAACTAGCCCTGAGAACAGATAGATAGCAAGCCAGTTGAAGATAGAAACCAACACACCATCATCCAAAAGAATTATAAAAGAGAATACAATGAGAAGTAATCTCAGCAGCAAATATTTTTCACACGTCCAGACAGAAACAAGGAGTATTGTGCATCATTTTGGACCTCATAAAGTGATTTACATGTTGAACATACAATCTAGTAGTTTATTTGTGTCTATTTTCCATTTTTTTCTAAGAAACGGAAATCTATAAGGCTATATCATTATGAAAATTATAGATGTACATGAAGGAGGAGGCATCCTTCAGGAAAAGAAAATATAAAGACAAGAGAGAATACAAAGAAACACCAAGCTGAATATTAAAACCTAACCAACCCCAAAAAGATTCATTCCTTTTCTGTTTTGGGGGTGGAGGTGGTAAAAGTCCCTAACATCTACAAAGTAGATACTTTCTATATCTCAACCATTTGCTTTACTCGTTCTGATCTCAAAAATCAACTAAGCCAAAGAATTAATAGAGTTAAAAATTTCCAGGGATATATGTATGAAGAAGACTCTTTGGCTTTTTCCATTATCTATTTTCTTTTTACAGATACCTTTAAAGATATTTTGTGACACGTTGCGCCTATCTCAAAATTTCAATCCATTAGGTTCAACGGTAAGGACTAATTATAAGAAACTTGTATGGCCATCTACACTGCCATGAAAAATTTGTACACTTTTTGGAGTCCTTAATATTGCAGTGCTTGATTCATCATATCATATCCACTCAGAAGCTTGCAGGAGCAGTCATATTATTTCAATAATTTAGAACATGAAAAGTAAAAGGAAAATGTTTCAGATCATAATGCTGCTGCAAAGATGTATCTCTGTGGCACATGTTTTATAATAATCAACCTTTTCCCTGTAGGATGATGAACTAATTACGTGAGAAAGAATCAATCTATTACACAAAGTTTTTTTATTATTATCTAAATAAGACCCAATAGTTATTTGAAATATTTAAGCACGTAACCAAGTACAGCAAAAGTGATCAACTCCATCACCATTTACAGCATATATATATGAAACACCTTAAATTGCCCATTAGTCTTAAGAGGGATCAATACCTGCTACCATAGACCTTATATTGCCCATTGCTCTTACATGAACTTGTAAAGAACATTAATATATTGGGGAGAAGAAGAATCACCTCCGTCCTATCCATTATGTATGTGATGGACTGTTATCTTTACATATTGGACCATCGCAGGCATTACATACACTCCATGAGACCCTTACTAATATGAACGTTCATTATGGGAAATTTAATAGCAATTACTTTCCGAAAAAAAAAAAAAAAAAAATTTAATAGCAATTGCTGCCAGATTAGTCAAAAATCCACGTCTATGGTATGAATGCTCATTACGGGAAACTTAATAGCAATTCCGGCCAGATTCGTCAAAGATCCACATCTATGGATGATTCGGATTTGAGTGATTATTTTAAAATTTTTGAAGGGGGTTTACTTTCTTGTTTACTTAAAATTGCATTTTGTTCAATAAAATAATTACATAAACTGCTAATTTGTACAACCATTTTAAAAAAAAAAATTATTTTCTGTTTTCAAATGGCAGAAAACCACATATTGAGGTATCTTAACCATGAGGTATCTTAACCATGATGTCAGCTATCTTCACTATTTGTTGTATTCTCCATTTTCTTTTTCCTTTTCTTTTTTTTATCCTAATTTCATATTTAATTAATCTCTATTAGTTTAGTAGTTATTTAATTTCAATTTTTTGAATCTCAGAGTGACCACTTTTTAAGAAATAATGAGATCAGGTCCATCTCAAGTCTTTCCCACCTAGCACCTCGCTTAGGCAGGACATATACCAGGTAATGGACTTTGTAATGCACTTCCTTTAGTAGTTAAAATAACAAACTTACATATACAGGGCATCTTTGAAACATATTCCTATTTGCTATTTTCATAAATTTAGATTTCTGTAAACTTATTGCTTTATTTTTCCTTCAAATTCAGTAATAAGTTTTATAGTGCTGCAAAATTAAATATAATTACATTTGTGAAACAAGTGAAATAGCATTCCATTTAAGATAATTGCCCCTGTGCAATGAAGACCGACAACTGCACTGATGCGAAAGAGCAATGTGGATAATATTGGAATGGAGGACCAAATATCCAGTTCTGGAAACAAGAAGGATTTCAAATGTAGCAGATCATTATGATGTTTTAACAAACCATTGAAGCCAGTGCGATTCTACAGCCTCCCCAAATCTTTGTTTCACCAGAGCTCCATTCCGCCAGTCTGATGCATTGATCTAGCAAGAAAACAGATCAGATGTTTCAGGTTTACAGTTGATAGGCTATTCCATTAGTATCAAACTACAAACTTCAAAGACTGAGTGGTGACTTAAAAAGTGTGTTCCATTGAATGATGCCCTGCATATTCACCAGTTTCTATGCATGAAGGAAGCATAGGGTGTTGTGCTCATATGAACATGTGAGTCTAAATAGATCATTAATAGTCAACTGGGGTGCTGAACCATGGTTCATTAATAAGAATATACCTCAATAACTTGAAAACCTTGCTCCTTTGCACAAGCATATATAGCTGCAGACTTTCCGCTCTGCATGGACAAGGCATACATTTTTAATCACCAATGTAAACCAGGAATATATGTATTGAACTAATATAAAAATTAAAAGGTGGCAAAGAAATCAAGGCTGATTCTTTATCAGGTTGCAAGCAATCAAGGCTGTTTTATCAATTTTGTACAGCATCCACTTTTTAAAACAAATTGGCAAATGATCTAGTGCTTTCAGTTCAAAAGAAGTGTTCTTGAGAAGAAACTTTAGTAAGGGTATTTTGACTCCTTTCCCTTTTCATCATGACATTCATTCATTTTTCTCGGTATAATTCTTTGGGATCTATATTCATCTTTAAGCAGAAAGAGAGAAAACAAAATCCCGACTTCTTACAAATATAGAAATCAAATTTTTTTGCACAAAATTATCTCTATATGAGATGTTTACTAAAATATACATCAAGTTCCAAGTAAGTATATCTAAGAGAATGTTTTACTATATTACAAAATAAAAGAAACTACTAAAAAATTTTTGCATACCAAATGATATTAGTGATCGATTGATTCTTTTCGTGAGGTTATTTAGTGTAAGAAATTTCCAGATAATTCCTTAAGAAAACAAGAAGCAAATAATCATTCTAATCTAGAAAACAAGTAGTAGCATTAGTTAGCGCTAAATAAAAATCCATCATGCATAAACAAGAAGAAAAACATTAGCATTCAACACAAGACATGATCAAGTTATGGTGCATTATTAAACACCAAAAAAAACAAAATGAGATCACATATTTAAAATGGCGAGAACATTACAGACAGTGCCAAAATGCAGATATATATTGCAGTTCACTTTTCCTCTAATTTATTTCCAAATAGAAAAAGAATAGATATATACCCCAACTGGTCCTGTAACTAAGAGAACATTCTTCAGACTCATTTCAGCTATATCCTCAGAATCACAGTCACTTCCGTAACAGTTATAATCAGCGTTTTGCACGATCAATTTATCACCAATGGTGGAATCTTTGCCGGTTCGATAATCTCTTTCATGCCAAAGACGTAGCCACTCACTTACAAACTTCACAGATTCACCGTTACCACATACCTGCACACCACATCATCAGACATAATACATGACATTATGCATATGGGAACAGAGAAAAACTTAAAAACTTGTCTGCATATTATTGGATACACGTTGGAGAAGTTAACTTCTGGACAAAGACAACACTAATTTGAGATATCTCACCTCAATGGCCTTTTGAGGCTGGTACTTATTTGTCCATAGGCTGTTTTCAGGCTGATTGTTACAACCTTGATAATATGACATCATCCTGCACTTACAACAGCATTCTGATAAATTCAAAAGTTCTAACAAGTACCAGTTGCATTCACAACAATGTCAAAAGAACAACTGGGATAAAGCTAAAGTCTCATATAAAATATATATAAGTAAAGCTCAAACACATGGAAGCCATCAAAATTTTAGAAAACACTCACCCTTCCTGAAGAAATCTACCCTGGCACTCAACATCTGGGTTACCCACACAGCCAGAATGCCTGGAGAAGAAATCAACGTAGTCCATTTCACGGTCCTGCCAATATTATAACGGTCACGGTATAATACTAATTCAAAATTTGCGAAGTACCAATACAGTAAGCCAATAAACATCCCAATAGAGGCAAAGTACCAATATAGTAAGCCAATAAACATTCCTATAGAGGCAACAGAAAAATCCACTAAGAGAAAAAAGACAGCATATACAGTTGAAGTGATGCAATATGTACCACTTTTATATCCTTTAGCTTTTCATTGTGAGTCACTTGCTCATCAGCCAATGGTGTTGATGATATTGGATGCAGAGATTCTCCTCCAATGGGTGATTGAACCAAAGAGACAAATTCTTGTTGAATAGGACATTTATCCAAACAAATACCATTCTGAAGCAATGATGACCCAGTTGGATGAGAAACACAGAGAAAGTTCTCAAAATTTAAGGACTTGACGGATCCTTCAAAAACCGGTAAGCATGCTCTTTCTAGACCAAGATTGGTACCAATGAAGCTTTTTTCGGAAATTACCCAATTTTCCCAATCAAGGGAGCCAAAGTCATCCTACATAATAAAATTTCAAATTCAACCCTAGGTGAGAAAGATGGACCAAAATGCTCATATTAAAACAATCAATCGGACACCTAGAGTAAAGAACATCTTTTCAAAAATTAGGTAATCAAAAACATCATACCTGGACCTTCTCAAATACATGAATAGGGCTGAAGGTAATGCTTTTCTCCTTTCTCTCAACAGAGCACCAGTTATTTTCCACAGTACTCTCCTGGTTTTTCCTGCTCATTTTCCAGGATGAGAAAAATGGATGTATTTGCTTTCCCGCAAATATACGTGAATTTTCCTGATTAAAAAAAATAGAAAGACGCTTAAGAGACCAAATATTTCATATCATAATCCGCTGTATGAAGAATAAATATTCAAGTTGAAGCTTTTATGTAACTAAAAATCTTCAAAGATTGCAAATTTCAAAAGGCAAGAACATAAAAAAATTAATTAATGAAAAAAAGGCCACCACAAAGTACAGTATATATATATATATTTTTCCTAGTTGGGATTCACACACACTGCCTCCACTGAGGTTCGAACCCCTGACCTCCCTTTTGGGAAATAAGAGCCTTGTACCGCTAAGTCACAGGCCTGTTGGTAAGTACAGTGTATATTCAAAGTAAAACGTAAATAACAAGCACTAGGACCAAAGTCCAATAACAAGAATAAGAACCGAATATGAGAAAATGAAATTTCAGGATTATTTATAGTCAAAAGAAGCATGTAAGTTTGACAAACCTCAGCTGTCACTTTTGCCTCTAAACGTAGATTGGGAATTGGCTGTGGCGTATGTTCACTCTGTGTGAGATTAGTTAAGATGTGACTGGAGCATGCTTCCTTTAGGCCACTATTCATCGCTTTCTTCTTTGGTGTTTTCACTTTTCGCTTCTCTGGTGTAGTTTTCGCTTGTCGCTTCTCTGGTGTAGTTTTCGCTTGTCGCTTCTCTGGTGTAGTTTTTGCTTGTCGCCTCAACGGCCGAGGTGTCCTTATATCTCCTATATAATATATTACATATGTAAGTTATTCATTCATCAATGAGCACAGAAATTCCTCGGGTGATCCAGTAAAAGATCTGACCTGTAAACATGATGTCACAACAATAATCCATTTCAAGAATGTGTCACAAATGGATTTAGTTTCCCATTACAAACTTGTTTCAAAGGAGTAGTAAACATTTAACAAGTTCCTCATAAACATCCTCAGGGAATTTATGACTTGATCAAGAGAATTCATTTTGAAATATGAAATAGCTTATTTTGATTGCAACCCTTTTTTTTTTTTTTTTTTTTTATTGTTTGAGTTATACAAGTTCTCCGCATGAGAAGAGAAACATTCTACACAAGATGTTCTCGAGGAAAGTTGTTGTTGACTTAAGATTTTCTAGTTTACGTTCTCCTGGAACAGAGGACCTCCACCTTGCATCTAATAAGCTTTAAAGCTCTATTGGCTTAGTCATGAACAAATTATTTAGTGCTAGAAAAAATGAGGAAAACGTTTGGAATGAAAGAAAAAAAAAATTCAAAAAAAAATAAAATAAAATACAATAAGATAGTTATTTTTTGGAAAGAAATTCAATCCAATAAACATAATTGAGAAAAAACAACGTATGTTCAGGAAAAAGAAGCAAATGTGGCCATGCTAGATCTATCAAATATCAATCCAGGAATTCAGCAAATAATTTGGAAAGTGTTGCAAAGTTAGGAAATTTGCAAATATAGTTATGCAGGTGCTATCAATTCATACCTCTTCTCATACAAGATGTTTCATAAATTAACATTGGGTATAATGTGGCATTTTCATTTATAACTGACAATGACTATCACTGTCATATAGAGAGACACCGTCGATGTTGCCTTCTCATGTGGTGTCCTGGACATCTATCCTTAGAGGGGCTCTACACGTGCCCTTTAATATCCTTCAATAAGCAATTGCTGACCTACTACTGGAAAAGGGTATCAAGTGTCAATCTGTGCAGTTCTATAATGGTTCCAAGATTCTGCTCATGATATATCTAGCCTCGATTACATCTGTCATAGTTTGGTCTGATGACACCACCAGCATAGACCAGATTGGCCTTGTTGTCATGGTCTACTGCATTTAATGTAAGTTCACTAGACTACTTTTACATCCCACAGAAAACTCAGGAGCATCAAGATGCAAATTCTCTGAAAACTTTCCATTTTAAGAAATTATATAATAGTTGTTCAAGCTTGTTTGAGAAGTATTGGCTGAATTTTTTTATTACTTTCTGCAAATTATCATTGTGCAATTTAATGCATAGAATTCTTATATTGAGTCAAGGGCGGGGCTAAATAGGGTCCAATGGGGACCACCACACCCACTCAAATTTTTTTTTTAAAAATAATAATTTTGTAATGAATGTTTTACGACAATTACAAAGTTGCCCTGATAACTTTTTTGCTCCCCTCAGTATTCTCCTACTGCTTTACTGAGCTCCTTCTCTTTTTCCCTCCTTTCTCTCAAATTCCCTCTTTGACTCTCTCTCTTCCTCCTCCCCCCAGGAGCATATTCCTGGCCTGTCAATCGTGTGGAGTTTATATGCAAGTTATTGTGCTGCAATAACAATGTAAAAGACGAACTAATAAGTTCGTCTTTGTGGATTCAAAGGTTTCGTCTTGTAGTGTTATTTGAATAATAGTTTCTTTAGCTATTCCCCATTTTCTTTGTGGATTCAGAGGTTTCATCTAAACAGAAGAGTGTTTTTTCCTCCTTTCACACTTATTTTTATGCCAATCAAGCAGCCATATGAACCTGAGCTTGGCCTTGCTCCAGCTTTGGACTACAGAACCATGGACCAGGCTAGTGCCTACACAGTTCCTACTTGAGAACCTGGTCTGCTTTTTCATAGGTCAATCCCCAGGCCTGCTTTACATTGGATGACCCTAACCCCTGGGTTCTGTGAGGCTAATAATGATTGTATTGACAGTTGTTATTAATCGCCAACATTTAGCCTGGAATGTCAAGCATCACTTCCATTATTGATAATCTTTCTCGTGTGATCATATCGCGCCATGCTATCTTAATGGGTTAAAAGCTATAGAAAACTAAATTTGGGGAAATATATGTGAAATTGACATACCGGCTGCTGATTCTGGGGGTGAACAGGTGATATCATTTTCTTCAGGTGAACCAACACATAGCTGCTCTTCCTGCTGTATTTTCTGACGGCGTCTCTCTGAAATTTTTTAAAAGTAAATCAGACTCTACAAATTAAGAAGGAATTGCAGTGTTATACAATGTTGCTAATCTAATTATTCTGACTTTAGTGTTCCATAATTCAATACACCTTAATCAAGCAAAGCATGGCCTTCACTTACTAACTATAACTGCAGAATCTTTGTCATCCACTTTCATGCTCAGACTCTCTTTGCCATTTTCAGCAACCTGTTATCAAAATTGAGATGGATAAATGCAGTTGCATGTCATCTACAATACCAGCAGTAACAAGATTGAAGAGCAGCAGAAGTGATGTCATTGCAGTGGGGGAGCAAGAAATTTTCATTTAGGGGGGCCAAACTGTAACATGAAATTAAAATTTAAAAAATTATAAAATAATTGTAAATATTTTTTCTTTTACAATACAATTCTTAGTGTATATTCATCATAGCATGCATGTCTATCATGAGGATACTCCTACTGAACTTGCATCCTTACAACCATTAGAATTAAGAGGTTGACTTCACAGCCTTACAATTCAATTGTTATAAGGGCACGAGAATAATGAGGGCTTTCTCAGGAAAATATTTTCCTATTCATAATATAATTAAAAAAAAAAGAAGAAGAATATACAACTTTAAATAAATAGAGACTGGAGAAGAAAAAAGTTGGAGAGAAGAAGACACTGACAGTTTATAAATTGATATGTGTAGCAAGGACTATGACAATAATGAACTTTTTTTTCTCATTAGATTTGGATTTTTAAAAGTAAGACTGAGAATTTTCAGTGGACTTTGAATGAGCCACATGTAATTTTTTTTTTTTACATACTTATCATTAATAACCATTAATAGGTAACCATAGATAAGGGTTTTGAAAAAATATATATACACAAGTGTGTTGCGAACACATACTATTAATCCTAACGATATATAAGGGTTCTATTTTTTTTTTCTTTCTTTCTTTATTAATTATTATTATTTTGGGAGGGGGGAGAAGTGGGGAAGAGAGATGGTTTCCAGCCTCTCTAGTATACAACACAACAAGCAGCCTAACAATAGATATCATTTTTTTTTTTTTTTTATGAGAATGATATCCTTGCAATCAGGCTGTCAACCATGGGAGCAGGTTTTAGTCTAAAGCCAGTCACTTAATTCAAAATTCTTCGACTTTATAGATATGGACACTGGAGTCAACATGCACACATGTCAATCCAACCAGGCTGGATCAGGCCCAGGTATGTTCAAGCTCAAATTAGTCCGTCCTGCAATCGTTGACCTCGGCCCAAGATCAACTCACTTTCTTAATTCTTATACAAGCTTAGGTCAGAGTTCAGGCTGGCCCATATAACACAGAGGTGAGTTCCTTGCCATCATATTAGGCTAAAACCCAAAGAGATATATACTGATGGATAGTTTGATCTTAAATCACTTTTCCAATAAACAAAACTGAATGCTATTTCACCAAAATATATATATATTTGAGGCATCAATAGACAAATTAGTATGAACTTGAAAAAAATAAATATAAGAAAAGAAAAAAAAAGGAATATGACGTATAAGAGAACTCGAGTGGAAGATACCAAGAAACTATGAACCTCACATGTGCCTTCCCTTTACTTATGGTTATGGGGTTTCATAAATAAAAGTCAAAGTCAAAACCCATCAAATAGCAATTAAAAAAATTCCAAGAGCTTGTTTGGTTCCCAAGTGCAAACTGTGGTTCCCTTGGCACAACACAGTGAGGTTTTTCTCTTAAAATGAGCAGATAACTTGAGCCAATTACATCAATCAGAAAATCATGTATAGTCTTTTCAATTAAAGGTGCACAGAATCACAGATGAGAATACAGACTTCCTAAATTCTACATTTAAGCACTAGTGAAATTGTAGGTGATCTCCTATTCAGGTGCCTAATACATGGTAGACTAATCAACAGTAAGGTTTTTCTTCTTCCTTAAACTACTTAAGAGCTTCTTATTATCCAAACAAGTGGGTTAACACTATCCTTTCTTTTCATTTCTGTTCCTACTAAACTAATGTAATCGTTCCCTTTCTTTTCCCACCAGCTTGTTAAAATTCGGAATGCACCAGTTCACTTCTCATCTGTGAACAAATTAAACTTCACAAGTGGTCAAGAATTAGGGAAACTTCCAGCAAGTATTCAAGTTCAATTAAAATACATTTAGGCATGTTTGACCATGCATGAAAATGAGGTAATTGTAACCTTTGCATCAAAGCATAGAAAGTGTTCAACTCAGCATGTTAAAAACATGCTTAAAGTTCAATGAACTCTGCATTATATGAACTCAGAACCAACTCTCACTTTTCACCCCTAGAAGCCAACATCAAAGCTTGAAAACGAGTTCAATATAACTCACTCAATTGTTCAATGCAACAGTTGATTATAAGACTACAGTTGGCGAAACTGATACTATTTGGAACCCAAAAGAGAAAACAAAAGCCTTCACTCAACTGAGCCTAATAGAACATAAAACCCAGTCGCTGGTAAGCTCTCGTTCTTCAAAAACCAAACGAACGTATACTTGTGTGTGTGTGTAATTTCATTGTTGTTTTTTTTTTTTTTTTTCCTTCAGTTTTCTAAGCAACCAAACAGACTAAATTGCTCAAAATTGAATTCATGCCTAATCCAATTGACTATAGACTAGTCCACAAGTACAATTTACCAGAGATTAAGTCGAATTCACATCAAAACTAAATAGATCACCTTTTTAGATGCCCTTGGTTGAGACATTGCCTTCGGCTTTGGCTTTCTCTTCCTCTTGCTTTGACTCCCGCAACACTCCTTGTCTTGGTCATCTTGTTCTACATCCCCATCACAACCTTCTTTTTCTTTGACCACACTCTCCTGAGACCTGTGCGGGAACAATGTCGACTGGATCAATCGCCGGCGGACAGGCGTCCTTTCCGGCGGCGACAGATCTCCACCGTCGGTCGCCACCACGACCGTGGCTTCCTTGGCTGATTCTTCCATTAGATCAGCTCAATTTTGGTTCTATGCAAAATTAGGGTTTTTGCTGAATTGGGGGTCTGTGGGAGGAATAACAAAATCTGATTTTAGAGAGAGAAAGTGGTAGAGAGAGATGGGGTTGGAGGGAATCATGAAGGTGTTCCCGCCTTGGAAAAGGATTTCGTTTGGCACATATTTTATACTATAATGGTGAGTTTCCTTTTTTTTCAACCTATAATGGTAAGTTAGTAACTTGCAAAACCCGGCTGGCACTACTCGTAACATGTTACCTTCCCAAATGTTTTTTTGACAAATACATGTTAAATTTGCGAAAATTATTTTTTAGCCGATTCAGCCGGTGGTCGGTACTACTCTTTTAATCCGTACCGTTCGAATTTCCCGCGCCCTCCTCTCACAGTCCAATTTGTATGTATTTTGTTCATTTTTGTAATCGATTTGTTTATAGAAAAAAAATAAAATAAAATAAAATTTAAATTTTAATCGATTTGTTTGTTATCCTTAGAAAGTCCTTTTTATTTGAGGTTATGATCAAGTGATGCCATATGATCACACCTCTATCTTATGTGAGGGTATATTGGGTAAAAGTAAAACAAATAAATCTAGGGCTTCGTTGTTTTTTTTTTTTTTTCCTTACAACCAATATTATTATTATTATTTTTTTTAAGCTGGTAAGGAAGAGTAGGAGAAGGATGGGTGAGTCGAACCAAAGTTGCCACATGACTCAGGGGAGTGATTCTACCGCCCAACTCACATCTTTACAATCAACTGTTCGAACAAAATGTAATTTTGTTTGGTCTCATAACACATCTATTTATCTATAAATAAAAATGTGTACTCTCATATTTGAAGACCAACAAAATACCACTAAATAATAATACTTTACCATCAATAAATTGTGTCTATATATAAAAACATGTACTCTCATATTTGAAGACCAACAAAATGCCACCATATTATAACACTTGACCATCAATAAATTGGTTGAGATGTCGAAGTAACTTCTTCCTATTTCTTTCCAGAGTCTAATAACAATGCAATGCCATTTCAATTAATCAAAAGCCACAAGTAAGAGTAGTTTTATAAAAATTGGTTAATCTTGTATTTAAATTTAAATTTAATTATTTAAATGCCAATGTTGGACCATTATACTTGTTATTTTATTATTGTTTATTTAGGATTTCCTCTAACACTAGGTAATATAACAGTAAACATTTCAGACTGGACTTAATTGAAAATTGACTCAAATTATTGTTACTATGTGAACAAATTAAATTCAAGCTTATTTGATAGAACTTTTTAGTAAATGAGTCGAACTCAAATAATACATGACTCAATTTGTTTTGTTTTCAACACATGTTTGTGAACATGCTTACCAAGAACTTAAACACGGACTCATTCATTATATTTATTTGAATACATAATATTTTTTAGTCTTCTTAATTTATAATTCTAAAAATACTTGTCAAGAACTTAAAAAAATTGTAAAATATTTTTACAAAATTATGCTACCTCCGTTAAAAAAATTATACTACCCTTGTCCCAAACATGAGTCACCATTCTTCAAATGCAACATTCTTTTTGGTACAAAATGAGTGAAACACGACATCTTTTTGAAATAGAGAGAATAAAAAAGAGTTCTACGAGTATATGTATTTTTATAACTAATTTTTTTGAAAACAATTATTGGAAATGAACTTGAATAAGGTTTGACTCCGCTTTCATTACACAATTACACATTCCAAGAAAAACAGTTTAAAAATCTCTTATTTTTTAACGGCTGATTTTATTTAACCAGTGGGGACATTTAGAAGCGTTGTCGAAAGGAGCAGACACCAAATTACCAAAGCACCCCTATCTCCAACACTTATCAACACAATATTGCCGGGGCAAAGTTGACAGACAGCCAAAAGATTCGCACGAGACTGTGGTCAAAAGAGAATGTGTCTAAAAGATCGACAATCTTACAGGTGTTTCAACTCCAACTTTTACCTCCTCATCTCTCTCTCTTCAGACACCATCATTTCTCTCTGAAACCCATCTCAACACCCACCAATGTCCCATCTTCTTTCTTACCAAAACTTCACATTCACCCTTTAACACCTCCCTCTCTCTCTCTCTCTCTCTCTCTCTCAAACCCTTTTCGAATGCCAAATCAAAGACCCTTAATCTTAGCAATATATCAACCCTTCTCATATCAAACACTTCAATTTCTCTCTCTGAAACCCATCTCAGTGCCTCACCAAGTGCTCATATTTTCTCACATCAAAACTTCACATTCACCCATTAACCCATTCCCCTCCTCTCTCTTCAAATGCCTAATCAAAGACCCTTCTCACACTTCTTCTACAACACCATATTCTTCTTACTCTTACTCAACGTGGCTCTGGTAACCTCCAAATCGACGATCGAACCATGCTCGAACTCCGATTCGTGCAATGCCTTACTGGGCTACACACTCTACACCGACCTCAAGGTCTCGGAAGTGGCTTCCCTCTTCCAAATCGATCCCATTGCCCTCCTCACCGCCAATGCCATCGACATCTCCTACCCAGATTCCGAAAACCACATCCTCCCCTCTCAGCTCTTCCTCAATATCCCCATTGCCTGCTCTTGCGTCGACGGAATTCGCAAGTCCGTCTCGACCCATTACAAGACTCGCCCTTCTGACACTCTCTCAAGCATTGCGGACTCGGTTTATGGGGGTCTTGTGTCTGCTGATCAGATTCAGGAGGCCAATTCGATACCGGACCCTTCGGTTCTTGATGTTGGGCAGAGTATTGTTGTTCCTCTGCCCTGTGCTTGTTTTAATGGGAGTGATGATAATTTGCCGGCTGTTTATTTGTCGTATGTGGTGAAAATGGTGGATACATTGGCTGGGATTGCGGCTAGGTATTCGACTACCATTACTGATCTCATGACAGTGAATGCCTTGGGGAATGCAGCTATTGGAGCTGGTGATATACTGGCAATACCGATTTCAGGTAATTTTCGAGCTCCCTTTTATGCACCATTTTGTTTATAATTTTCTTGAGTAGCAGAAATTGATTGTTATCATGGCTTTATTTAGCACTGTTGGGTTATAGTATAATATATATTTTGTTGGGGAAAGTTTTAGTATTGGTGATGAAATTTTATACTTTAATTCAACATAAGCAATAACAAATAAAATAGAAACTTATGTTAAATTAGAAGAGAACACGATTCAAAGTAAATTACAATTTGAAAGAATTAAAATTGAAAACAGGTAATAGGAAATTAAATTTCAAGAAAAGCTGGCCTGATAGAGAGATGTCACTCCTTCCCTCAAGTGAGGTAAAAATGGTATTAGCAAGTTCCAAGATACCAATCAGCTCACAGTGGCATCTTCTCTATGTACACGACAATAGGAAGACTAGGTCCAAGCTTGTTGCCAATAAACATAAATGGATGCATACATACATATATAAGAATAGAATGGTGGAGAATATATCTTTATAAAGCGCATTAACTTCATTTTGAAATATGGTGAGCTCTATTTATAGGATTCAAATGTAATCGCTGAGATATTATAATTATAAAAATAATGATTCAAATGATATCCACCATAAATATAATTTAATTAGATTTTTATTAAAAAAAAATGCCAACATAATTTACACAGCCTAGGCTTGTTTAGTGAATTTATCGTTTAGTATCAACTATTGAGTTTCATGACATCAGCCATTGTTCTTATTGAAAATGTCATGTATCTTTTTGCTGTATGTGTGTGCATTGATTCAAGCACAAATCCATTTATATATTCATGTATTTTAGAATGAATAATAGTGTTGCTTCTTATTGAGGCGTTTCATTATTTTCCTCCCTCTTTTTGGTTGTCGCAGACTCAGTTGATTTCTGTATCCACATCCTTTTATTATTGATATTGATATTGCTTAGTCTGTTGGGTAAGTCATGGAGGTTGAACATTTTCCCCATCATTTTCTTGTGTCACAGCTTGTGCATCTAACTTTCCGGGATACACCTCGGATTATGGCTTGACTGTGCCAAATGGAAGTTATGCTATTACCGGGGGTCACTGTGTGCAGTGTAGTTGCGGGCCAGGAAGTAGCAGGTAATTCGAGTAACATGGAAGTTTCATTATAGTTCTTTCATATTATCTCAAAAGTGGATATGGTTCTAATTGATTTGATTGGGGGTTTTGTACAGTTTATACTGCATGCCAGCTTCACTGGCAGTTTCTTGTTCGAGCATGCAATGCAGAAACAGTAATCTCATTCTTGGAAATGTTACAGTTCAACAGAGTAGTGCTGGCTGCAATGTTACTTCATGTAGTTATGGTGGCTTTGTCAATGGCACTATTATGACCATGTGAGCTTCTCACATTTTCCATAAGTCTTCCCACACCCAAATATATATATATATATATATATATATATATATATATATATATATATATATCCCAGAATGTTAGATTTCTGTTTTATGGAGTTCTTATGGTTTAATCCTTCAATTTTGTTTCTATTCACTCTGCAGCCTGTCCACGTCTCTTCAACCTCGATGTCCAGGTAATTATTGATCAAGTGCTGTCCATCTAAGGGGTGTCTGGAAAGCACATGAAAATTGAATCATTCACATTTGGGGTTCTTGGATATTTTCCATACAAATTAAACAAGTTTATGGTTTTAAGCAGTGGCATTTGATATTTCAATACATGGCATAATTTTAATTTTTTCCCTCTACAATCCTTTGTTTTTTTCTTGAATTGTTAAAATTGACACAGGGCCGCAGCAATTTCCTCCACTTATAGCCCCACCTACTTCAGTAAGCAGGGACTCATTGTTTGTTCCAGCACCTTCACCTTCACCTTCACAGTCGGGTGGTGCTGCAACAACAATTCCAAAGTCTTCAGTGGTGCCTGGATCTGTCCCATCTCTTGGATTTCCACTAGCAAATGCCCCCAGCGGAAGTGTCTCCGGTGCTTGCTCCTTGGTGAATCCATTCACAAATTTGCCTGCAATTGTTTTAGGTTTGTTTTGCAAATTCATGGTGTCATTCTCACTGTAATTTTGGCCCTCAATTGCATGCCTAAATTGTGGTCTTCGTCCTCTGCATCAGGTCTTAGTTGTTTGTTTAGTTCTATTTATTATTAATGTCAGTACACTGATCTTTTGGATGCAGCCAACCAAGTTTGTTTTGGCTAACATTTTCCAATTGCCTTAACCTGTACCACCATGAATATAGTGACTGCATTATTTTTAGCAAGTCCTGGCATTGCAGGTGTCGAAATTTTAGATATCCTCATTTTGTGTCATCTTTGCTTTGTATTGTTGAACATCTTTTGAGATCTTCCTCTTTCTCTTTAAATTTAAGTATTTTAGTGTGGCTACTATGTGGTTTATTGTGCATTTTTTTTTTTTTTTTTTGGCTTTAAATTAGTAAGATTGAAATCTCGGGAATATTTTGTTCATTGTTATTAGGGAATCAGCAGGTTATATTGTTTTTTCCCTGCCATGGTTGGTTAACTAAGCCATGGGTATTTAACACAAACCTCATGGAGGCGGGTTTCTTACCTAGAACTCAAATACTCATTACACATCCTTACAGAACTGTGCCAGTACACATTGTGGGTTTATGCACGCACTGTTGCATGTGCACACATTTATGTTTCGAAACACACAAATGCACACAAAAGCTTTGGTGGTTGCAGAGGGATTTCACAGAGGAGGGACGGAATTGGTTGATATGGAGGTGGTGATGGTGGAGAGAGCATAGGGATTTCGCCCTGGGGGTCTCTTTATCTCTCTCCCTCCCATTACATACTGACCTAACAGGGATTTGCCAAGGGATTCTGACTTGGGGGTTGTAAAGAAATTGATGGTTTAGTAAGAAAGACAGAGGGAAAGTCAGTGGCGGGGGAGTGGTGGAGGGATGGAGACTGCAGTTTAGAGAGAGAAACAATGTGAGAAAGAGATGAAATGGTCATGGAAGAAGACAGTGGATATGGTCCATGTGGAGAAAATAGAATTTTCGATATGGTGGTGGAGAAATTTGAGAGGTACAAAAAATTTACCCTATAATTTTTCAAAGTTAAGAACACTATCTCCTACTCTTGCTGTTGAATTCTAGATCGAAGCAAAGAATTGTAATAGTGAACTCCGAGTTTATAGAGAGAATTAAAGATGGACTAAAAAGCCAAGACTTAAAAGAAAAAAATTCTGTGTAAGTGCTGGAACTCACTTTTAACAAAAGATTGATTTCCTTCTTGTTGAAGAATTTGAGGGGACAAGAGAGGCTTGTGGTCCTTCAGAAACTGTGTTTTGAATACAGTACATAATGTGCAAGAGATATCTACTTGACTGGTGGTTTATTCTGAGAAATTTTCATCTCTTTTGAGTTTGTCCTCAGCTTGCCTTCAAATGTAATAGTACTTGTCTATATTGCATTCAATTTGGCTTGAAATGAGAACCATTTTTGGTTCCTCATTTGCATGATGAAGAGCTACTAGACTGGCCCTGGAAACTGTTATTGGAGATGAAACGATACCCGTCTTACAACATAAATTTTATATATATATATATATATATATATATTAACTTTGGCAAGAAACACACTCACTCACATACATTTTTTTGTCCACAGTCACGCTCAAACTCTTTGATTATCTGCCTAGTTAATGCTTAAAATTGTTGTATATATGTTTTCTCTTCCCCATAGTTTCTCTCTTGTATTTCTATATAGATATATATATCTGTGTGTGTGTGTGCGCGCGCGCGATGTTATTCAAGTGAAGCAATTTTTTTCTTGTAACTTTCAATAATAAAGGCAATATTGCCATGGAAAAACTAGTATTTATTTATTAAAATTGAAGGACATTTCCCTCTTTTTCAAAGTAGAATTAACCTTTATAGTTCAACACACCCCCCAAACCCCTTACAACTGTTCACATTGAGTGGGTACAAAAGACAGAGTCTCCTTCTCAAGATCATGAAGAACCAGCAAGTTCTGCTGCTGAATGTTCCCGAATATCGACATTGCACCCGAAGCTCCCATAGCCAAACACACCAACCCCAAGCTCTCATCAGCAATCATATAATTCTCCACTGGCAGCTCCAAATCCAACCCCGTGAAGTGAAACTTCAGCTTCGGCACCATAATCTCAGTAACATTTTTCGTTGGCAAATCGAAGCACAGATCAAGTCCGGTAGTGTCCGATGACCCTGACACCCTAAGCTTCATCTGTGACATGAACTCCTCCTTCAGCACATCAAAAGCCTCCTTAAAGAGATACGTTATCGTTGTCCCGGAATCAATTATCATCCCACCGCTGCCATCTTCCTTCAATTTGAACAACGAATTCGATATGGGTAATAGGGTTTCACCAACTGTGATCCCTTCCAGTGATATGTAATAAAATGTAGGTAGATAAGGATTCTGTACTAGTGGTGTGACTTGTGTACCATGATTTGCACCACTGGTATAGTTCAAATCAGCTAGTGAGCCTAAAAGAAGAGTACTAGAACTAGTTTGGTTACCACCCATAGAGGTTAAACAGTATGAGAATTTTGTGACACCAAGCTGTGATGCGAGTGACAATGGTCCACGCCCTAGTCCCACTAGTCCTGACCCTTGGCCCAACCCTGACCCTTGGTTGTTCACACCGCAACCAAACCCTATTTTAGGTATGGGCACAACTTGCTTCAATGAGTCCTCAAATGTGAAGGTGTCCATGGCCATGAACCCTTCCGTGGACGATTGGTCGCCATACAAATACAAATATTTACAACCATTTTCACACTTGAATATGTTCATGTCCTTGCATAAATCACTAGAACATGAAACATTAGACCACGTAGAGGACTTGGCCGGATTGAAAACCGGAGTGGGTTGCTTGAAACACTTTGTGCATGGGCTGCATTGCGTCCATATCAAGTCACTCCCGGTGTCCATTATCATCGAAAAGGGTATCGCCGGAGTTCCGATCGACACGTTCATGAGGAACTCTCCGTTGCCGGCATGGACCGGGGCTTCGACTCCGTTGCCGGGTCCGGTGGCGGCCATTGAAGCTAGCCTCTGTAGCCTGTTTTTGGCGCGGTTGAGTGAACGTTGGACAAGTTGTAATTTGGAGAAATTGTGGCTAGAATCGATGTGGGATAGGCTGACTCGAAAACCATTTTGCATGGAGTGGTGATTGAGAACCTGGTTTGATGTGGAAGACACCAATGGAATAAGGATTAAAAGGTAAAGCATAGATGGAGCCATGAAAACTGCTAGTGTGTTGATGCAGAAAGTGAGGGAAGGAGATATATATGTGTGTGTGTGTGTGTGTGTGTGTGTGTATAACGTAAATAGAGAGACAGAGAGATGAAGGGACTGTAACTGTCAATAATGTAACATTAGGCGTTCAGAAAGTGGAGAAAGTGGTGCTCATAGTTAGTAAATATAATTGGATTTTCTTATTTATAATACTATATATATATATATAATAAAGTATCCATTATTAAAAATTCGAGTACACATATACTATTTTTCTTCTATTATGCCTTATATATATTTATTTTAATAATATAAAATATTAAAAATAATAAGAAAATATATAATGTTGTAGGGAGATGGAGATTTTACACCAATGAAGGGTTTGTAGAAATGGATAGATTAGTGATGATTCTAAAATATTAAACTGTTTATATATATAGATATATATATATATTTATATAATTGGGTGGAAATTTCTAAGAGATAAAAATTATGCATTAGATACTTATCAAAAAAAAAAAAAAATTATGCATTAGAAAGTGGGGATGAATTGAGTATGAATCGGTTCAATTACCACACGTTATGAAGTTTCATAATTAAGTTTTATTATAAATGATTCACTAGATCATGTCCCTTTTTTTTAAATCTTTTCAACTTCTGCATTGCTGTTTAGTATTTGTATTAAATTATTTTAAGTTTCATTACCTCACTAAAACAGGTCAAACAATGTTGTTCTTATACGTCAAATTTTACCACTTTAATAATAATAAAATTTCACTATGATAATTGTGATCAGTAAAAAAAAAAAAAAACGCACACTAGGGAGAGTTACAAATAGGATTGCAAACAGAGACGGATTAGAAAAATAAGTGGGGGGGCAATTGTGAAATTGTTTTAATAGGGGTAGTAATGTAATTTTATAGGTATATATATCAAAATTTTAAAAATATTAGAATATAACACTAAAAAAATTTATTGCAAATTGAATTGGATAACCTCCCTGATCACTTGATTACGTAATACTTTATTTGATAGTAATTAATTCTCTTAAAATTGTTGGGATTGTTTTGGTTTTGGTTCGTTCGTTCTAGACCAAATCCAACGTTGTGCAACTCTAATAAGATTAAACTATTAATAATTTTGATACCAATTTGACTAACCGATTTTGTTTATTTATTTATTTAAATATCCTAAGAGACTGTGAACCAGTAACACCATTACACTTCTCGTAGATAAAGATGGAGGTATCGTTAGATACTGATGCAGAGATATTTTGGTTCGGTGTTTAAATATATATATATAAATTGGACATTAAGTATAAAATACAATAAAATGACATTTCTTGAACTTGTTTAGTTTCCCTGGCTCGGGGATAGGGACGACAAAATATTTTGCCCCATTGGGTACTCACCCCACTCAGTCTCATTTAGATCGAATATGAGGTGGTTAAATAGCTTTGGGATAGAATGGGAGTTAGGATTGAAAACCCATATAATTAAAGGTAGTGTAACTGTTCTTTTTATAGTGATAAATTATAATTTTGTCCTTATATTTTATTTTGTATGCAATAATATTACATATATATTAAGCAAATCAAAATTTATTAGAATAATGTTTGCCTTGGCAGCATAAGAAGGAACTTTCTTTTTATGTTGAGGTGGCCAATAAAATTTTCACATATGTTAAAAAAATTAAGACAAAAGAAAAGAATGTTTGCAGATAATAAAAACTCATCCATTTACTCTTTTACATCAACTCTCCTTGCATTAATAGAAAAAGAAAATAAATGTCTCCTCTCTCTGTAAATATACATCTACACATATATCTATATACAGTAGTGTTCAATTACTCCCTGGTATATAGTAGTGTTCAATTGCTGAGCAAAGAGCAATATACTAACTTTTACTTATAACCTTAAGATCTAATCATATTGTTAATTGAAACATGTACACATATTTTAGGTAATTGTCCTTCTTTTAATTAGTCATTAATTATGAAATGACCATACTGGATTTTTTTTTTTTAAATAATAATAATTTTTATAATTTGATTAGACTTTAACTATGGCCCTTTCTACCACTGTCGGTCCATCACCACCACCCACCTCCACCCCACTGCCATGACCACCTCCCCCAACCACACCACAAACACTGCCACCTCTATCACCATCATACTGCTACCCACTACCACCACCACATACACTAAAAATTATAAGGACGCCAATTAATTTGTAGATTTGGTAATTATTAGTCAAAAGTAAACATCAAATCTGTCTGGGTAGAGGTGGTGTGGTGTAGGTGGTGGTGTGGTGGCGGGGTAGAGGTGACAGTGGCAATGGGGTAATGACAGTTCATGGTTAAATATATATGTATTTTTCTTTAAGAATATATTCAGTATAGTCATTTCATAATTAATGGCTAATTAAAATAATATTAATTTTCTAAAATAATTATTCTCCCTCGTAGCTGTTGGATTAGATTTTAAGGTTATGAGTAAAAGTGAGTATATTGCTCATGCTCAAAGAACGATTGAACACTACTTTATATGTATATATATATTTCTGTGTGTTGAATCTTCTCTTAAATTAAGATCATTGTTTAAAATAGCGAAATCAAATTTAAAGACTTCTTTCCATCAAAATTAAAGTACGAATACACCTCTCTCCTCCACCAATCAATTTGCTCCATTTTTGTATTCAAACAACTCTGTATTTTGAGATGGGTCTGATGTATACATGTATATAGATCAACCGGTAATTGGTGGGTTAAATTTGATCTCAAAATTTTAAGCAATGCTCTTAATTTAAGAGAAGATTCAACATACAAGAAGAAATATATATATACACACACATATATAAAAATATGTGTAGATATGTATTTACAATGGGAGAGCGACATAATATTTTTATTTTTATTTTTTTTTTAATGCAAGGGGATTGGTTTTTATTATTTGTTGTCATTCTTTTTTTTGTTTTAAATTTTTTAACACATGTTGAAGTTTTATTGGGTTACCTCAACAAAGGAAGGAAGTTCCTACTTATGCCGTCTAAGACAAACATTATTCAATTTATTATATTCAAATCACTAAATATTCTTATTTAAGAATTTTTATGTATTATTTTGATATTTAAACAATAATTTTAGTCTTGATTTTTAATTGAGAAGTTGAATTTTATTTTTATCTGTATAAGAGAAAAAAATTTATTAGCATGGTTAAAAATTTGTTTTAATATTTATTTTCTTTAAATTCATATTATAATTACAAAAATATTTTACAAAACTCGTCAAGTGACTCAAGTCCTCGCCCAGCCCCATTTAATAAATAATTTTGAAAAGGAATGGAGGTGACTGTTCTAAATACGGATGAAAATAGCGGTCCCAAATTGCCCCCATTACCATCCCGACTCGAAGCGAGGCAGATTAGTTTCCCCGATGAAATATGGGATAACTCTTCTGTTAAAAAATAATAATAATAATAATTATTAATTAATTGATTGATTTTCCGTACGATGTCCTAAGCTTTTTGGAAATATTGAATTTCGTTTTTCCAGTTTATATTCGCACGCTGTGGACTCTGGAAGATTCAATCTCTCTCACACTCACACACAGACGATCCTTTTGAAAAACCAAAACGAAAGTATGACACCAGTTTCATCGAAGCAATACACAGGTCTTCCCCCTCTCTCTCTCCACACACTTGTATGCACAGGCGCTTGAATGTGAATAATACAATCACACACACACACACACACACACACACACACACACACATATATAAATGTGTCTCTTATGAATTCGTATTTGATTCTGTAATTGCAGATGATGTTAGCCTTCTCATGGTCTTGATGGACACAAACCCTTTCTTCTGGAGCGCAGCAAAAAACAGCCTTGCATTTTCCAATTTTCTCTCTCATGTAACTATATAAACCCTAACTTTCTCTCTCTAAAACTAATATCCTAATTCACCGACTCTCACCTTCACGAATTCACACAGGTCCTTTCATTCTTGAACTCCATTCTACTTCTCAACCAAGTCAATCAAGTGGTCGTCATCGCCACTGGCTTAAATTCGTGCGAGTACGTCTATGATTCGTCTTCAAATGAGGTTGCGCCGAATCAGAGGGCGGAGAGTTTGTTGCAGAAGTTGGAGGATTTCGTGATTAAGGATGAAAAGCTGAGCAAGGAAGAGTCGGTTGATGGGATTGGAGCTTCACTGTTATCAGGGTCTTTGTCGATGGCACTTTGTTGTATCCTTTTTTTTTTTTTTAACAAGTTGCACTTTGTTGTATCCTTATAATTGATTGGTCATATTTTGCTTATATATACGCACACATTGTACAAAAATATTGTTTGATTTGACTTTTATTGATAGATATACAGAGGGTGTTCCGATCAGGACCGCTTCATCCCCAGCCTCGAGTGAGTTTTTATAGTTTTATACAAATTCTTACAAGTAATCTCTATCAGGAAATTTGCATTGCTATAACTATTTCTGTTAACTTATTTTAATGTGTAGAATTGAGCAATTATATTAGAATTTTGATTTTACAAATTAGTATCTATACATACCTGGTGTCCTAAACTTTGGCCAATGTTATTTGCACAAAAAGTTTTTTTTCCTGCTTTGTGTAGTTTGTTTGGTTTTTTTCAAACTTTTGTAGTTGATGGAGCTTATTCAGTGTGGCTTTTTACAATCAAAATTTAACATGGTGGACTTGGACATGGATCGGATAGCTTATTTCTTTTATATTTTACATCTAATTTATTGACATCATATACCTTTTTGTTGCTATTGGCTTTGAGGTGGAAAAATTAAGCAATTCTATCAGATTCTTAGGATAAATTCTGGCTGGCAAAAGTTTGCTACGGAAAGCAAAGGTAGAATTAAGATTGTGCTACCTGTGGTAAATGATATCCACTCTAATATTTTGTCTATGTTGTTAAGCAGCAATTATCAAACTAAGTGTTGAGGGTTGATGGTGAAATTCCTTGTATATTGGTTTTTTATTTTGTTGTGTTGTATAATGTAGCAGCTTGATTTTGGAAAGGGAATTGAATTCTTGCTCAAATAATTAACTTCCTGATCAACAGCAAGCACTAACTTAACATTATTCAAGCAGGAATCACGATTAAGAGATGCTAAAGCAATTTTAAAAGGATGATGATCCAGAGATGTGAAATTGTAGATGCGCACTAACTTATCTTATTCAATCTGTGGAGGCAAGAGCGTAGGTTAATTATCAAGAATAACAATTTAATAAATTATATATATATTTTTCAGTCGGTAAATGTCACTATTTTGTTTGAAGAAACACATGATATGCTTGTATGAGGCTAGCTACTTTACCTCCAACACTATTGGTATTTGATTTTCTTTTCATTTTTGGTTTTTACATACTAAAGTTTTGTCGTGCATCCCAGTTAATTGACATGGAAACCCGAGTTTTGATCTAATTGCCAAAAAATGTTTTTAACATTAAAATGTCATTCTCTTATTTGCAGTCATTGCATATTTACTTTCTTTTGTTGAAACGTATTGAGCTCCATATTTTCTCTACTTTTAATAACAAAAATGTATGTATGGAGATGTATCCATATACAGACTTGGATCACTTTTCTTGATCCAGAACCATTTTTACACTTGGATCTTAGTGAAAAGGCTGAGAAAGGTATAGGACCATTTTGTGTGCGTTTCTACCTTTTTCCCCTTTCTCTCTTTATAATTTATTATTTTCTTTAAAAAAAAAAAACTAAACTCCTTAAACACAACATTGCCAATGCTTCCAAGTGTTGCAGTGGGTGCTAGTGTAATTATAGAACTCAAGATGTTACCGAAATGAACATATGTCATTCACAACCAAGCTTAGAGAGCAAGAAGTCTCATCCTTGGCCGACATGTATATGTATGACCTAGAAGCTTATTAGGTGAAATAATGCCAAAGGTGGGTTCCATGTTTAGCCTTCCCCTCCTAGCTTCCTGTGTATGAAGGATTTACAGTGGGTAATGCACTTTATGGAAGGTTATTAGGCTGTTGATATTTCTATTTCTTTTAAGAAACAAGCTGGTTTTTACGTGAAACTGAAGTTACTTTATTTTCAGCATTTAATTTATAGGGAAAAATATATGAAGATTTGTTGATTGATGCATTTAATTTCTACGGAAAGGTGATTTTATTTTGTTAAAAAAAAAAAATTCTTCAGATCATATTTTGAGTATTGGTTCAAAATTTCAAATGTGCTACTGATGAGTTTTACGAAAGGTGTGTTAGAAATAAAATGTTGTGGGTCATTCTTTACTGCTACAATCAATTAGATAATAGTTTATCTCTTTATGCTGAATCCTTTTGTTATCACTGACGGTTGTTTCTCCTTTCAAAAATGTGAACATGCAATACACATTTCATGAATACCTCGCTTAGCCCATACATCCCATAATCTGGTGGTATTTAAATTGCAATGCACTATGGTTTTCGTTATATTTTGCTGCAATGGTTGTGATAAGCTGTGGATGCATATAAATCAATTGGCTTTGTTCCATAATCCTGCCTCTATGCATGTATTTTAGCCATGTGTTCATTAGTTATTGTCATTATTGATTCTTTGTTACATGAAATGTGCATATTTACTAATGAAGTGACTGACAAATGGCGGCAGATATTGTGTTTGCATGGATCCCCAGATGGGCCGGAACAGTATGTTTTTTAATCTTTTGCAGTATTTACATTTTCTTCTCCATAAGCTTTTACTCTGAAAGATTCTCTTTGCAGATATGTCGCAATCATGAATGCAATATTTTCAGCTCAGCGTTCAATGGTAATGTAAATTGTTGAATATTAAGGATTTTCTTTCTGCAGTTACACTAGTACCATTCCTTTTGGGTAAATTTGGAAACCCTAATTTTTTTTTTTTTTTAATTTTAATTTTGTTTATCAATGTTTTTGTTGTTGTTGTCGTCGTCGTCATTATTCAGCTCTGTATGTAATGATATCCGTTATTGAGAAATATACCTGATCAAAGATCTGAGAATTTCAAGAATTTGGAAAAGTTGAACTGTATGTTGACAGCTAGGAATTTGGCCTCAAGTGTTGTAAAGGTTAAAATTGAAGATGTTTTGGTAAAATAAGATTAGCTTGAATTAGTTTGAAAGTATGTGTCATCTGGAGTCATTTTAAATAAATTAATCAAAAGCAGAAACAAGAAAGAAAAATTAAAAATTAACACCAGCTTTTCTACAAAATAATGGCCAAAATTTTAATGGTTTTCAAGAAGCTTCATTCTTAATTGTTGTGGACATGAGTAGATAACCTTCAGTCAAATTAGGATAATGGATGATTGGTTATCTATACATTTTCATTTCAGTGCACGCAATAAAAAAAATTCATATTACTGAATATGTGCATCTGAAACCCTGTATTGGTCTTAATACCATAAATTTACATTGGAAAATTGTGTAGTATCAGAACTGCATCTGCCTGAAATCATACGTACTTTCAAATACTAAACATGTACAAGAGATTTGGCATTTTGTCCAGAGCTATAATTTTTTGTTGGTTTATGGTATAAACTATAAAGATAGAAATCTTTTACTTATTATTGCTCCTCTTGTAGCTTAAGTAGGAATCGTTTAAAATGAACTTAAAAACTAAACAAAGTACTGGGGTGATACTATAATTGTTCAGAATGCTATTACCTTGGATAGAATCTGAGGCTTACTGCCTTTGTGGATTTTGGGTTTATGTTCTAATAATATCATGTATGTAAGAAGTGAATTTTGAGCATAATGGTTACTTAACCAAAAAAAAATATATGTTTTGAGCATAATGGTTGAAACCCTAAATTTTTATAGGAAATTAAGTACCCTTCTGTTTTATTCAGATTTCTCAAGTTACGTAATTTTGGAAAAAATAAGTGACTAGTTGACTCTCTGATAAATAACGATAATGGCAGACACTAAAGTTAATTAATAAAATTACTAAGTATCAATAGATATATATATATATATATATATATATCCGGCTAGCCAAAACTTACTCTTTTCACACGCATACAAACAGAAAGAGAGGAGAGACACTTCTTATATTTGCATTCGCAAGTTTCATACAAATATTGTATGCCTATTGCTTTCTTCTTTAAAGCCAAAATATATAAATACTGTATTAACATTTAAATTAATTATTTATTAAGTTAAAGATGGTTGAGTAAGATAAGTCATCTAACATGACATATGTGAGAACATTAGTAAATTACTTGTAAAAAAAATTTGTGAGAACATTAGTAAATTTCTGCATATGTTGGTGTTTGCATATTTTATACTAATAATCAATAGTAGAAGGAAATTTTAAAAAAATTATTAATTAGTAGCATTATAAATTATCCACCATGGATATAAGTTGGTCTTCTCGAGAACCAACAATTTAATTGTAGGTTAACTATTAATACTAGAGAGTCATCTGCAGTCACTTTGAAGTTGCGAACAATGGGGTCCCATTTTATGGTCCTATACTTGGATTTATGGTTTGTTTAGATACCATTCAAAATGTACGAGTTGCTAATTATCTTCATCTGACTGTCTTGATGAGTTTGAAAACTTTCTAAATTTCATTGATTTGTAATTGTTGTGAGTTAATGATATGTAATGGCATTCATCCCGTAATGTCAATGATTTTGAAATGTCTAAATATAGTCAATTTGTTTCCTGCTGCAGGTACCTATAGATTCTTGTTTTATAGGAACACATAATTCTGCTTTCCTCCAGCAGGTAGTGTGCGTGTTATTTTCAGGTTTTGGGAATTCCTACTGTTAAATTCTTACATCTTTAGCAAGATCTGTCTGTTGCTTTTACTGATCATTTGTGGTAATAATTGAACGACAGGCTTCTTACATAACCAAGGGTGTATATTTTAAACCCCCGCAACTGGATGGACTGTTTCAATATCTATCAGTAGGTTCTTAACTTAATCGGGTAATTTGGAAGCAATTCAGAATTGTGAGTTTTATCATTCAATCTTGTTTGTTGCCTCTTGAGCTGCACATACTTAGTTCTTCTTTTATTAAAGCATGCACTTTAGCTCCAAGTTTCTGAAAGTTATTTCCTATGGCTGTCTTTAAAAGCTGACAGTGAATTGATTTTCTCAAGAAAAAAATTAAAAGAATCATGGAATTATTTGAAGTTTCCATCTTTGGGTCTTTCAAGTTCCCCTTCTCTCCCTCCCTTCTGATAAGAATATTGCTGGCTGAAGTTAACTGTGTATGGGATATGCGAGACACGGTAGACCGGGAGCATGCAATACCTTATTGGCTCAGTATTTCATTGGTGGATAGTAAACTAAGTTCACACCTGGGTGGAACTTTCTTAAGTTCACTTGTAAGCACTTCATAATCCGGCTGGAACTTTCATAATAATTCTATGAGATGCCCAAGTAAGTACTTCACCACTGTTAAAGATTTGATGGTATACACTTTTAGGAGCGGTTTCTTTTTTCGCTAGTTTTTCTTTAGCCTTCTTTTTGTCCAAAAGTGTAAAGTTCTTCTCTATCATTTGCATGAATTTATCTTATTTGCTTTGTAATATTATCATTTCATTGTTTTTCTTAATTTATGTAAAATTAATCCAGATTAGCATGAGTTCCATTAACAGCCGCATCCTCTCTGTTAACTCCCACTATGATATCATCATTTGCCATCCCTTCGCTTTTTAATGGAACCAAATTACGTCGTTACTATTCAAGACTATTGGTTTCTCGTTCTTGAAGTTGAATGCCTTTATTTTTTTATTTTTTTTCCTTTTCTCTAGTATGATATTACCATTGAATTCCTGGATACACGGTAAGAAATTTTTTCTTGTTTTCAATTGAGCATCTTCAGCTTTTACTGTATAAACTAATTTTCTTTCGCCTGTTTAAGGTAACTGTTCTGAATATTGGATGATGTGCTTGGCTTTTGTCTTCCTTTTGTGTTTCTCTGTTTGGATACCAATGTGAGATTGTTTGCTACATGCAGACAGTATTTGCAACTGATTTGCATTCTCGCAGCTTTTTACAACATCCGAAGACCACAGGAGTTGATTTCCGTGCCTCGTAAGTTATCAATGGCAATTTTAATTGTAAATGTGTTTGTTATCTTTACACTTGCTATTCATTTTTAATCTTATAATTTTTTCCCTTCAAGCTAGGCGAGAACAACTCTATGTGTATATATATATTTTCCTGGTAAATAACTCTATACCGTAACTTTGTAGAATATTTTGGTCTCAATATTTAATATTGTTCTTGATGGTCATCCCTATTACAGGGAAATAATACATTATTATTCTCTCGTCATACATGTTTAGAATTAGAGCAACTAATGTAGTTTACGAGCCTCTTATTTTTTTTATTTTTTCTTCTTCTTCTTCTTCTTCTTCTTTCTTCCCAATGATGTTATTTCTTTGTTCTTCTGTAACTTTGTGGAGTCTTATTACAACATCTTCTGTAAATGCTTGAAACATCATCTACTTTTGTGCAATCATTTAGATTAGTTGTTACATCAAGCAACAAGGCAAGCAACAATTTTGATATTGTTGCTTTTAATCACAAACTACATTTTTTTCTTTGCAATATCATTTATCATTATCTTCTTCATCATATTTGCTTTCCTGCATGCAATTCCTATTTATAACTTCATACGATTGCCGTATTGTTCCTTCAATTTCACTATAGGAAGTTTTTGTATTTGTTTATTGGTTGTCTCCCCCTTATCCATGCGCTAATTTCTATTTGTTGTTATTGCAATTAGCCATATAAAAAAACTCTGAAATTTGCAGGTGTTTTTGCCACAAAAACGCTATTGATATGGGCTACATATGTTCTGTTTGTTTGTCTATATTCTGCAAGCATCACAAGAAATGTTCAACCTGTGGGTAAGCATTTGTTGCTCTCTCAAATTTCATTATTTGCGATACCTGCCCTTGTCAAAGTCTATATATCCCATTTTTCCCTCTTTACATGCTGCATTAGTCCCGACCATGTAAAAATTTATCGTATTTATAGTTGTCTTTGCTGCCCTTGTCTAATTACTAGTTTGACACAATATGTGTGATCTTAGTAAAACATTTACTCTTCTATTAGTATTTTTTTAGATCCCTTGGTTTTTCTAGAATAATGGAGCGACTTTGTGTCTTTATCAAATAAAAAATAGTAATGGTGTCGAAATCTTTTTATTTTTATCAACATTGGAATGCAGGTCAGTTTTTGGTCAGGCCCAGACAAATATTCCTTCAACTTCAAATCAGAAGAGAAAGACTCCAGATTCATAGTCTTCCTGTCCTAAAAAGTTTATGTAGTTGACTAAAGAATTTTTGGTGGTGCTTCTTTCAGTCATCTGTAATTCAAATTTTAAGTCATTTCCCAATATTATTTCTACACATTTAATATCGGAGGCTGTTCGGGAAATCGGGAAATCGAAAAATCTGGCCTGCTGAACATGATATGAGCCCTAATTGCTGAGATTGTACTGGTTGAATATAAAGGATGAATGGCTTTCTCTGTAGTTCAGTTTATGAAGTCATTTTACAATATTAGTTCTACAAGTTTAATATTGGAGGCTGCTGTGAGGAAAAAAAAAATTTGGTCTGCTGAACATGAAATGAGCCCAAATTGCTGACATTGTTCTGGTTGAATAGAAAGGATGAATGGCTAAATTTTCATGCACAGGAGTTTCTTGTCTCGTACAAACCTTTCAAAAAATATATATGTGCATATACACTAATGTCAACCAAATAAGCACTGAATTGGATTTGGAATTGGAGAAATTTTAATATAAATTTTGAGTTAAATTTTTTCTAATCTCAAATTCAAGCACCGATTCGATTCTTAAACATAACATTAGTGTTATCCTCCCAATTAAAGTCACTCGAATAAAACTCATTGACCAACCAACTAAAAGAAACAAATCACTGGAATAGAGTTCGAGTTCACAAACTCAGCAATAAACTCTTTAAGATAATCAAAATAAATTTAAAATTTTCATGCATAAGTTAGTCAAGTTTCATATAATATTTAAGTGGGAATTGCAAAAAAAAACCCTTGACTATTATCCATTTGCAAGAAACTCCCCTCAACTATAAGGAGGGGGTGATTTAACTTACCTCTGTTTAACAATCTTGTAATGTAATTTTATCTGACCAAATTATCCTTACATCTGGTCGGTAGCTTCTGTTGGGTCTTCACCACGTGAGGACAAAAAAAAAAAAAATTGGGTCTTCTCCCTCACTTTCTATGAACTGTGTAAGGAAAGAGAGAGCAATATATATAAAAAAAATACACAGGGAGTGAACTCGAAAAATCGACCAAAATAAATTGTTTTTTCATTACTTACATAAAATCTTTAGAGGAACCATTGGGGCCTGCCGAAATTCTTCTCTCTTTCTCTCTCGATTCAATTGGTTTTGGATCAAATCTCACTGCCAACGGCCACTGTGGACTCACAACCTGCACAAGCAAAACAAATCATCATATCAATATATTACTGGCACGTGAGGTCATTTTGCCAAAGTATAAATAAATAAATTATATATCTGGTATGTAAATATTTTATTCTCAAGTATAGTTAGTCTGAAATCAGAATCATGATAATTATAAAGATGATTATGTCCACAATGGTTTCTCAGAAACCTCATGGATGTTCTAGTGTCCTTGTATTCGCGCTGAATTCTGAAGCAGAACTATTTTCATGAGTTAGGGATCCATACTTCCCAGAAAAAATATTTTTTTACACAGGAACATTAACTTATTGCAGGAAATTGATGAATCACTGGATCATCTTTCCAAAGAAGCATGGTAAATGTATATTATACCTTGGTTTGTCAATGTTCATTGAGGAACAAAAGATGAATGGATCTAAGTTAATGAAAAAACAATTTATTTTGGTTGATTTTGGAGCTCTCTCTGTGTGTATTTTTTATTTTTATTTTTATTTTTATATATTGCTCTCTTTTTTCTTACACAGTTCTTAGAAAGTGAGGGAGAAGACCCAATTTCTTATTATTTTTTTTAAAATTTTTTTTTTTTCATGTGGTGAAGACCCAACTAAAGCTACTCACCCATATGTAAGGGTAATTTGGTCAGAAAAAATTGCCTTACAAGATTGTTATACGGATGTAAGTTAAATCACCCCCTCCTGATAGTTGAGGGGGGTTTTTTGCCAAAAACATTCATAAGGAGAGTTTCTTACAAATTAACTAGTATATTTCTTTCCAACCACAACGTTGGGAAAAAAAAAACAAAAAAAAAAATTCCGCTTATAAACTATAGCAATGCTGAATTATTCATATCTCATTATAATCTTAATTCATCCCAGACAATAATTAATAACATTTTAAAAACAAAAACTGAAGTTCAGAGCTATAATTTTTCTTGCTTTGTGAAGTTAATCGTTCTTAGAAAATTCTTGGTGCATGCTTCAGAGCTCCATTAGTTCCGCAACCATGGCGGCAAGGCCCAATCTTATTCAACTTGATCCACGCTTATCTTTGTTTCTATGTCGTTTTTGTGAAATCCACATTTGAGCTCAGTTGGTTTGGATGTAAAATATTTTTTAAAAAATAATTTTTTATTTTTGGTGTTTGATTGTAATAAAATATTTACGAATAAAAAATATTAAAATGTACCCAAAAAAAAAATTGCTTTTATACGTCTTCCGGCCTGCTCGATGGACTGAACCTCAATTTAAACCTTTGCCAAATACCAAAAAATAAGTATACATATATATTACCTAAAAAAAATAAAATCTTTTCGGATAAAAATATTTTTTCGGTCAAACAAACAGAGCTTTGGTTCATTCAGCATTTTATGTGAACTTGCGACGCCACTAAAATTCCTTTTGCCAGAATGTAGGTTTAATATATATACACATGATCACAAATGACAACCATATCTAAAGGGTAAGACCATGTTTGGCATCGACCAACAAAAGAAAATCGTTTTCTTGAAAAAAAAAAAAAAAAAAAAAAAAAAAAAAAAAAGTTAAAAAAGGGCCCTGTTTGTCTTCTACCAAAAGCGGGAAAAAAAAAACAAAAAATGTACTGTAGTAAAAAGGCAGGTCAATACAAAATCTACAGATTGTTATAATTTTTAATCAAAATACAGTTACACTGATCTCTCAAACCCATTTCAGAGTCTGCAGAACTACAATCCCTCTATCTCTATCTCTATATATACACGTACGGTTGAATTGACCCTCTCTCTCTCTCTCTCTCTCTTTCTTGAATTTCAATCTTGAATGAGCAAGAACCTGAAACCATCGTCCACATTTCTTCATTTGTCCCTTTAATGCTCTGTTTTTGTATTCAATCTATCTCAGATTGCTAGTTCAGAGCTATACATATTCTTGATCTGTGAAGTTAATCGTTCTTAGAAAATTCTTGGTGCATGCTTCGGAGCTCCATTATTTCTGCAACCATGGCGGCACGGCTTATTCAACTCGATTCACGTGTACCTTTGTTTCTCTGTAGTTTTTGTGAAACCCCCATTGCCATAAGCGCTGATCACATGTTCGTGGTACGCAAACTCTCTCTCTCTCTCTCTCTCTCTCACACACACACACACACACTTCGAATTTGTGCTTAAATTCTCGTTGCTGTTGAAAATTTTCATTCTTTAGGGTTCTTGATACGTACAGAGTCTATCTATTGTGGAGTAATTTGGTTGTTCCTTATGTTTAAAGCATTATATGTGTGTGCACTGTGTAAATTTTGTACAGTTTTGAGGTTCATTATCTTTTAAAGCATTATATGTATGTGTGTGTGTGCACTGTGTGAATTTGTGCTTGAATGCTCGATGCTGTTGAAAATGTTCATTCTTGAGGGTTCTTGATACATAGGGCAGAGTCTGCCGATTGTCCACTGTGTGCACTTTGTGAATTTTGTAATGCCATTTCTAATTCCGTCACAAAGTTACTACACTTGGTCACTTCCAAAACATGAGTAATTTGAGATGTAAATTGGGCCGAATTAGATTAAAAGATAAATGTAAAAACAGAGTTCTCTCTGTGAACAAAATATGTTTAATTAATTTACTTGTATATTTAATTCTTGTATTAGAACGATGTTATTCTGATATATATAGTTCTATATATGAATGCATATATATATATATTGAAGACAAAGAATTGTTGGAATATGAAGCTACTAAAACTTCTGGAATGATAATTACAAGGAAAAAATAAATGAAAAATGAGAAGAAAATCTTTTGGAGATTGAATTAAGATTGCAATCTCTTAAAAAGAAATAATTAAATTACAAAAATTAGCAATGTTGCACTAAACGTGATTAAGAAGTCTCTTGCTCATGCTGTATTCATATTATGTGTCTGACCTATAAAAATGGTGAATTTTTTTTTAGGTAATTCTATGCTACACACACGGATACGTGTATATATATATGTATTGGTGGAGAATTAAAACTAAACTATTTACTGATCAGCTTCTTGTTTATCTCTCAGCTAATCTGTTTGTAAATAATGCCAGATCAAAAAAGAATTCTCTGATCTCACTAATTGTTACCAATTTATTTTTCAGGAAACCAGATACCATAGAGGCATATTCCTAGACGCGTTTTTTTATCTTAGCATTTAGCTTTTGTGGCACAACCTATATGTATATGTGTGTATGCAGTGTCAATGTGTGCAACGATTTCAGTGGGCACGTGGATTGCAATTGTAATTACGAATGGAAATTTGTAAGATATTGGGTATTATTATTATTATTATTCTTCAAGTTCCAAGTGGGAAACCATAGAGCTTTATTTGACCGTCGTGGCTGTGTAATGCACGTTGCCTTGGACTTATTAAAACCATGTTGGATTTTGTTGGTCTAGAAACATTTGTGGCAACTCAAAATCTATGTTGGTTCTACATGAGCATCCAATTTTAGAGCTCATCACGTTTGTATAGAGAATTGTGGAGAATTGAAGAGAGGTGATGGATTCTAAAATATAAAAGAGTTTGTTGAAATTTATAGATTAGAAAATCTCAAAGAAGAATAGAGAGAATTGTAAAAATTGTAAGTATATAAATAGTTAGACGAAAAGTTTTAAGAAAAATCTTAATAATTGATTGTAATGTATGGTAACCATTCATTGAGAGAATAATCCCTATATAAAGAATGAAGTATTCATTTATAGTTATGAAATCTTAATATAGAGTTTAATTGTGAGAATGATAACATACTTAATGATAACGTCAACTTTCGAGCCGCAATACAAACCATTACCTTAACTTAAGTATCAATTGTGCACTGTAAATCCTAACTCCAGCAAAATTGTGATTCTTTTGTAATTCATAATACAAACCACTACCCTAACTTAAGAATCGATTGTCCAATGATTCCTTTTACTTAAACATCAAATTGTGAATTGATGGCAAGGTTGGGTAACTATGGAAGATATTCTGATTTATTATTAAGAAATTTAAGTTTGTATTAGATATCAACTCATTTTAATTTAGAATTTATTTTTAATTGGACAAATCGTATAAAACTCTCTTCTAATTTCAATTTTTAGCATTAAAAAAGATTGTCATAACCCCAAAATTTTGGTTGTTGCAATACTGCTCCCACCATTCAGAAAAATCATTTTCTAGGAAACAATTGCCCCTGCCAACCATTTGAAGTTTTTCAAAGTAATTTTTCAAATATGCTTTAGATTGTAGATGTGATTATGTGAGTTTCTAAGAACCTTTAATTCCTAAGAACAACCCCTTGAGAATTTAAAAAAAACCATGCATATAGTTTAAGGTGACCCTGTTTCAATTATTAAGAAAAAAGAAAAGAAAAACTTCAAATGCATTTATGTACTAATTAATTGCATTTGGAGGTTTATTTTCTATAAATTAAAAAAAAAAAAAAAACTATATATGCATATAGTTTAAACCATTTAAAGTTTTTCAAAATAATTTTCCAAATATGCTTTAGATTCTAAATGTGATTATGTGAAAGTTTCTAAGAACCTTTAATTCCTAAGAACAACCATTGAGATTAAAATATATATATATATATATATACATGCATATAGTTTAAAGTGACCTTGTTTCAATTATTAAGAAAAAAGAAAAAGAAATACTTCAAATGCATTATGTACTAACTAATTGCATTTGAAGGATTTTTTTTTTTTTTTTTAACTATACATGCATATAGTTTAAAGTAACATTGTTTCAATTACTAAGAATAAAGAAAAAAGAAAAAAAAATCTTCAAATGCATTTATGTCCTAGCTAATTGCATTTGAAGGCTTTTTTTTTTTTTTTAATAAAAAAAAGAAAAAACTATATTTGCATATAATTTAAAGTGACCTTGTTTCAATTATTAACAAAATAAATAAATAAAAAAACCTTCAAATACATTTATGTACTAGCTACTTTTTTTATTTTAAAAAAAGAAGTTTAAAGTATTAGGACAAAAAAAAAAAAAAAAAAAAACCCTTCAAATGGTGGGGAGGGGCAATTTGGTAACAGAAAGGAGTTTTTTTTTTTTTTTTTTTTTTTTAACTGAGGGGGGACAGTATAGCCCCAACTAAGATTCTTAGGGTAGTTTTATTAAAAATGGATTTAAAATAGTCTCACGACCACCAAAATTGCCTTAAAAAAACGGAACAAAGACATTTGCCCCTCCACTTTTTTTTTTAATCTAAAAATACTTATATACCCTCACTAGATGCGGGCATAAATTGGCCAAGTGTGCAAATCTTTTCCCAAATTTTGACGATATTCTTAACATGGTTCTCTTCTTTCTCAGCTACCAATCTTCGTCAATGGCAAAACAACAACAAAGAAACTCCGCAAGTCATGGTCCATCAGTGTTGGGTCAACCACATCGACCTGCCTGAGTGCAGCAAGCGCAGAAGATATAGGGGTGCACAAAAGAACCGGAACTGGAACCGTGATAACCGGAACTGTTTTTTACGATTTTCATGGTTCCGGTTCCGAATTTAAGAACCGTGGACATACGGTTCCGGCTCCGGTTCTGATTCCAGCTCGTGGGAACCGGTAAGAATCGGAACCGTATATATATATTATATATTTAATTTTATACTTTAAAAACGAAGTAAAGGCGTTAAGATGAGTTGCTGGACCTGAAAAAAAAACATATTTTTTTAGTTTTTTTTGCCCTAAATGTCTCACTCTCTCGGTCCTTGCCAGTCGCCTCCTCTGAGTCCTCTCAAATTCTCAATCTCTCATGATCTCATCTTCCGTCTCTGTTTGCTAAGAGTTGACCGACACCGGCATGTTGGTCATTTGAGGACATCATTATCGACGCTCCTGATCTCCCCGCCTACATCTCCAACCTTCCCGACGAGTGCTTAGCTTGCATATTCCAGTCGCTTGGCTCCAGTGATCAGAAACGATGCTCTCTCGAATGTCGCCGGTGGTTTCAGATCTAGGGACAGAGCCGTCACCGTCTCTCTCTCAACGCCCAAGCCGATTTGCTCTCGGTGGTTCCGTCTCTGTTTTTGAGGTTCGATGCGGTGACTAAACTCACTCTGAAATGCAATCGCAGATCTGCTAGCATCGGCGATGAAGCTCTCAAGCTCATCTTGACTCTTGTGTCAACGAGGACCTCCCTCTCTTCTAATCCTTGCAGGAGGTTAAGAAGCGTCATCCTTTCAGTTCAGGTATGATGTGATTTTATTTTCTTATCAACACTGTATGATGAGCTCTGATTCCAGAGATCATCTCTTGTTTTATTGCAGTTTGCTCGATCTATTTGGAGATCGTAGGTTGAGTTATTCTATTCTAATCGTCAAATTTTTTAGGCAGGTCGTGGGTACGCCGGTATCAACACTGTATGTTCGATTCGGATTGGAGTTCTCTGTCAGTAACTTTGATCAATTGGTGGAATGTTTTGTTTCTCAAGCTTCCGAAACCCAATAGCTTGACTGCTTGCCGAGAGTTAACGGTTCACCGGAACCGAACCGTAGAAACGGTTCGGTTCCGGTCCCGGTTCCATATTATACAATTCCAGTCCCGGTTCCGTTTTTAAGGAACCATTGTGAACGATTCCGGTTCCGGTTCCGGCCGGAACCGTGAGAACCGGAACCGTGTGCACCCCTACGAAGATATGACCGACATGGCTATTGCCCCACACGTGAATTTCCCTCCTCTTTTTTACGAGGGGGATAGAAACGGCTTTTTGCATTTGATTTGATAATTAAAAATTATTATATAACAATAGATGCCTAGAAGGTAAAATAGTAATACTTTCAAACGATTTTCTAAAATAAGCTAATCAAGTAACAACCGTGAATGAGAGAATGCAGGTGAAAGCTACGCCTAACATGTCATTTTATCATTCACACCAACAATAATATCTTTGAGCATTATAACAGCATCAGCCAATGCAGTTTTCCATTGAGATGGCAGTCACCAGTCCGAAAAGAATTTTCAAATTATACACACAGTAACACACTACACACACACCAACATTATTTACAATTATCTACATTGATAGGGGGTGACTGAGATAGAGACTCGAGAGGACCTTGGTTTTTGTTGGTCTACACGAGGGAACACTCGAAAGTCATAATCGTTTAAAGAGGGTTTATTCACATTTTTAATTGTTCAAAGTAGAAAATAGTCAAATACCCATTTTCAGAGAGCCCTCATAACAACTTTGCCGGTTGTGTGAATTCCCTTTGCAGCAAGTCTCAATACGGCACGACTCTTGTACAACCTGCAAATTGGAACTTCATGTAAAGAGCATCCATGTGTTGTACTGCAAAAGCACTAACATTCGTCTCTATTGGAATTGAGAAATGCAGCATAGGACAAGCAAGTCCAGAAGCACTTCCAACAAGGCTATTTAGGATGTTACAAATTCTATAACCATCATGACGAGTTCATATATCAAACTAAGAACAGATTTCAACCATGTAAAATTTTTTAAAACTTCAAAAATTTTCAAATTTTATTGGAGTGCTAAAATTCTGTAAAATACTATGTTGGCTGAAAAATTGAAACATATAAAAAGAAAAATGATAATTAAAAAAAAAAAAAAGCCTCAAATTAGGCATGGGAAACTTTTTATTTTAAAAAGTGAGTTTTTCCAATGCCCTACACTCCTTCCTTAATCCTTAACCTTCGATGCATTGTTCTTTTATTTTTACTTTATGGAAACCCATTAATAATTTATCTAAAAGGCAAGGCTAATTGATGCTTGCTTTTTCCCCATCGTGTGTTTCCATAATACATAGGAAACTATGCAGTTGTTCAACTAGACTGTTTGACTGACAATGTTAAGCATCTGTTATGAATTTATCATCTCATGCGGTAACCATCCAGAAACATCTCAGTCCAAATAATCGAAATAGGCTTTTTTGGGTTTTGTTGATCACTACGTGACAGAGCATGATGAAAATAATATGGCAATTTTACGGAGCAGACAAAGAGAGCCACAAAGCACTATCATTAAAATGAGAGATTGTAACAGACCGTAATTGTTGTGCAGGGTCAGTACTTAACTATATTTTGCTTGAATGGCAGAAGGGAATTGAAGGTAAGCAGAAAGGAATTGAAGGTAAAAATTCAATTGCAGAAAGGAATTGAAGGTACAAATTGAGCGCACAAACAATATTAACGGCATAGTCAAGAACTCACCCAACCAAAGCAAGGCCCCAGGTGGAAAGCGTATAAAACATCATCCCAGCATGCCAAACATGTAACATCTTGTCCAACTTGTTCATGCCACCCAACGCATTTGTCAGAACTGCAAGATCAAATTTTCATGTTGAGATACTTTCAAATAGTAGAACCGTGTATTCCTCTAATTTCCTGAGGCCATCCCAAATATGCAATAGCCCTAAAAATAGATAACATTCAATAAAATAGGGAAAAAACTAACAATATAAAGCTAAGAAAAAGATTTAAAAAAAGATAAAGAAAAAGAAATCAATACACCCATCAGATAGAAAAAGAAAATATTTCCTAAATGTTACAAGAACATCAAACTTCATCAAGGAAAAAACACTCATATAATTCATTCATGAAAAGCCACAGGAAAGCACATAAGATGTTGAGGAAGCACTAGAGGATATCCAACATGACCTAGTCTAAGTGAACAACCTTGCAATAGAACTCTTTTATTTCCTAAAAGAACATCTTGATTCATGTACTAATTAATTCCATGTACGTCTAAGCTTTGTAAAAGTCTTCATTCACAGCAATAACCTAGTGAATTTGGTTACTAGATAAAGAGTAAAAACAAATTGTTAAGGATTTCATCCTTCACTTATTCCAGAACTTTGTCAAAAGTAAAAAAACCATTGATACTTGCAACTCGTTCCATCGATACTAACAGGTTCGTATTTTCAATGGAAAAGAATCAACTGTAAAAAATTGGTCCACATGTTTGCTCCCAATCCAGAAAGACAATTTTGAATAAATTGTCAACTACCTAGACACTAGTAATTTGGAGCATTGACAAATGAATACTTATAAAAGAACAAAAGGCCTTAAATAATTAGATTTTACCAGAAAAGAAAGGGGAAAATTATGTACATTAAGAAACCTTGATTTTTTTGGTAATCAATGAACAAACACATCAATCAGGCATTCTGCAAGAAGAGAATCCTGAAATTTCTTGATGACAACCCCCCTCTACCTTCTTTTTTGAAAAGGAAAAAAAAGAAAGAAAAAAGAAAAAAAGGAGTGGAGGTGAAGGGAGAAAAGAAAAACAGAAAGGAAGGAAGAAAGTAGTAGTCAAAAGCATAAACAAAACATCATGCCAAAAATCATCAGAATGTTCACTTCTTTGGATGTGAAGATGAATTCTTTCGTTACATGATGCTAAACCACTGAACATACAAAACACCAAGACTTAATTTTATTAGTTGTTCATCTATGTTCTGATGAACTATTACAACCATACCACAGAAGTGAAAAGAGGCATCCTAGGTAAGGTTTTTTAGCAGGGCCAGAGGCATCTCCTAGCACTAAGCTTAGTTTGCACTTTGCAAATGCTACTGAATGTGATTATGTTCATTTTCAACTAAGAATTATCAATGTTTACGTTCATTTTCAATTAAGAATTATCAATTACTAATGTACCTAAAATTCATTGGAACGACATCTGGACTAAGGATCATGTGGCGACCTTGTGGGCGGGTGTGTGTGAGCGTGTGTAGGGGCCACCAGTAGGCTACCACACTGGGCGAGCTACAGGTGCACAATCCCATATCGTCTGGGTGTGGATGGGGCAAGTGTTATATGTAGATTCAACACCCTTCTATGACACAACGCGTTTTAAAGCCGTGATGTCCGTGAACCCATCAGAACTCTGTAGTTAAGCGTGCTTAACTTGGAGTAGTACTAGGATGGGTGACCCCCTGGGAAGTCTCTGGTCTGGGTGAGCCAAAAGCGGACAATATTGTGTCTGGCCAGGGTGAGGGTCGTTACAGATCAACTTAGCAAATATTACATAACTGGCATAGGACATTCCTGATATTGCATAGTTGGTTTAAGAAATTGGCTTAAAGAGTCACATCACTTGCATTTATTTAATCGGGCATTCATGTGTTAATCCAATCAGTCTGAGAGCTGGTCTTTGAGTATAAAGAAGTAATAGTTAAATTGGAAGAAACTACAATTAAAAGTTCTCCAGCAAGCTAATCAAAATTGTTTCCATTTTCTTGGTGGCATCTCTGATTGCCAAAGAAAGTTGGAAAATGCAAAAAGGTGTTAGTCATTAGCTAAGGAAGGGTGTCTGGCAGTCTGCATGAGGACAAATGCAAGCTTGGAGATGCAATCAATAATTATGACTACTCCCATAGGCAACTAGCATAAATTATAGAAAATAATCATCTCAATATGCCTTCGGATGTCTACAATTTAGGGATTCCCACAAGCATAAACTCAAGAGGAGATTGCATGTCAAAAGGGATGCATTGACCACAGAGTATCATAGTAGAATATTGATATATTTCTCCTCCTCTCTTTCTTTGAAGGATATGCTCCATTGAACTTCGGTATTTTCTATAATTTCATTTCCAAAAACTTAGAAAAATAGCATAGCTTAAACAGATGTTCTTGATGAGAATATAATAGCCTAGGCATTCTAAGTGAAAGAGTAGACAAAGGGTGGTATCACCTGATACTAAAGACTAATGAAGTGCTATCACTTATCAGGTTTATACTCATACCATAAGGGCCACAAACATCAGGGAAAAAATAGACTGCAAACTACTCTTTTTTGATAAGTAAAATTGAACTGTAAACTTACCATTTTGAAGCTCCTCTGGTTTCAAACTCTGCAAGTCCACAGGACCAAAACAATGTGAGATAAATTTATTTATTTATTATTTTTTATAAGTAGAGATGCATGAAATTTAATTCCATAAGAAAAACAAGAACAAAATGTACCAGTCATCATATACCTGAGCTTTTGGGTTAGACAGGATGCATCTAGCCATAAAATTGGCAACCCCGTCCACCACTTGTTCTTCAGTAACAATTACGTAACTTTCATTATCAATTCCACTCCTTTCTTCAACATTACTTGGAACCATTTCATCAGTGACCCACACCCACCAACTCGGTTCTTCCAAGTCAACATTAATTAATATTTCAGATGACTGAAGATCGGCCCCTAATTAGAACCAAAACAACATAATCAACATATGAACAAATTAAGTCACTAACAAGCATCAAAAGAAAATTCAAATATTGTAAAAATGGCTACAATTATAACTATATTGTCATCGGAAGGAACAAACTGAAAGAACCTGAAACATCCTTGAAAGGAAATTTGCATCCAGTTCCATCCACAGATTCAAGACTTAGAGATTTAAGTTGAGTCAAGAAGTTTTCAGAATCCACAGTAGCTACAAGACGAGCATACAACTGCAATGGACAAACAACCATCAGTATAAATTTTGCTACAGCTTAAGAATACAAATACAAATAATTAACGTTTCAAATGTTCAATTTTTTATTTTTATTTTTATTTGTAAAAGTATTCTCCTTGCAGGCAGTAAAAAAGAACAAAGAAACTAGGGGGAAAAAAAAAAAAAGCAGACTGTGAGGCATTGAAATCCATATATTGATGCATCCTTTATATTTAGTCGCTTCAAATGTGCTATGCAATCAATTGTTCTTGCTGTTCTGCTCCGAAAATGATCCAATTTTAATAGATTTTTTTTATATAAAAAAAAAAAATCAAACATTTAACCAGAAATAACAGGAAATTGAGAGGTTCCAAAGGATTAATAGTGTTTTGATGTTAAGTCCTTGAATTTTCGGCTTATTCGTTAGGTTCATTAGACAAAGGTTCAAAAGCATATATCTAATTAACAAACACATGTTATGCACAAATTGAGACGACCGAATAAACACACACGAATTCCCAATTGAGAAAAAGACAGCACAAAAATTCTAGGAACATAATCAAAGGCAGATATACGTACATCAGAAGGGCAATCTCGCGACAAACAAGGAGCTTCCGAGAGGTTTTGAAGGAGATTGAGGTTCTTTTCGAGCAAGTTCCTGAGACGCTGATTTTCTGATCGCAGGGCCTCCAATTCGTTTTCAGATGGGGGCGAATTGTTGCGATCGGCGGCTGCCTCGTCGTGGTGGTGGTGGCGGTCGAAACGCTCCATAGCGGTCCAAGCGACGTCCGCCACCTCCACCACCGTCTTCGCCACCTCTATAGGGTTATGACCCACCATCTTTCTCCCTCTAGGTTTTGGCCCTAATTTCAGAATTGCAGACAACCTACCAAAGCTTTATCGTGGCGTGAATGGTTAGTCACCTTCTCTCTCTATCTCTATTTTTCCCACAACTTGTTTGGCAAAATCAAATAAACAATCATAAGTCATAACCCGTCCAAATATTTATGGATCCGAATCTTTGTTCTATAGTTCTATTATTTCTCGTGTTGACCCGAATAATAAATGTATTAGACCGAACCTTGAAATAATAGTTGTAGAATTCTCCAAAGAGTTACGCAATTTGGATATTAAATTGCTATTTTATGCAGTATATATTATTTATTATATATATAATAAATTGCTATTTTGTTCAAATTATAAAAATTTTAAAACCGTGAGAGCATATTAAACCAAATTAAACTGTTTTTTCTTTGATTTAGTTGGATTTAATTTTACAAATCGGTTGAGATTGAATTTTTATAGAATTATAAATAACGATTTGATATTAAAATATTTTTAAATCAGTCAAATCAAACATCTATTTTGAGTCATGACATAAGCAAACTGACCCAATTCAAAGGTATTGGGCGCAAAATATATCTTATTTATAAATTCAAACATGATTTAGAATTTTTTATTTTTTTATAAAAAAACTTTAGCTTATGTGATATTTCCTGAACCAGTAAAAATCAGATTCGATTTATTTCCAAAGAGAAAAAAAAATACATTTACATTATGTACATATGAAGGGGTTCATGTTGATATTGTAATAGTCTCGTTGTCGGAAGGTCATTCATGCTCAAAATCTCCTCTTGTAAAGGTACAATTTTTTCTTCAATTCTGAACACCCACACACATGTATATGTATATATATATATATATATATATCTGTTTCTTGCCATTCGGTCTGGTTTAGTTCTATAATTCTATTGGCTCGCGTTCGGTTTGGCTCTATTGATCGTTCGGTTTAGTTTCAATTTTCGTAAATCGTTAGGACCGATTTGATTTCAAATTCTTAACTGAACCGTTATGCACCCGTAATGGTTTAATTGGATGGATAAGAATAGGGATAGGGTTTATCACGGAGATACTTTGAAGTTGTTTCCGTAGAATAGAAGAATTTAGGGCACAAAATCTTTCTTCTGTTCTGGCGACTGAACAGGTTTAGGTTTCGTTTGGATACATTGGAGAGAAAAGAAAAGAAAGGATTATGAGAGAAAAGAAAAGAAAAGAAAGGGAAAGAAATGTTTATATTTATGTTTGGATAGATAGGAGAGAAAAGAAAAGAATTGATAATATTGTTGTTTGGATAACAAAAAGGAGAGAAAAGAAAAGAATTGATAATAATAAAATTACTATCTTACCCTTTATCCTTTTTGGTAGGGTTAGAACACAAAATCATTTCAGCCTCCTCCATCTATCTATTCCCGATCTCACAGATCCCTCCGTCTCTCTCTCTCTCTCTCTCTCTCCAACTACAAAATCTACAAAAATAGTCAAAAACCCATATCAGCTCTCTCTCTCTCTTCAACTGCCAACTACAAAATCTACCAAAATTAGTAGATCAAAACCCATCTGCTCTCTCTCTCTCCCCAGCTGCAAACTACAAAATCTACAAAAATAGAAGGTCAAAACCCATATCGGCTGTCTCTCTCTCCAACTGCCAACTACAAAATCTACAAAATCTACCAAAATCAAAAGACGATCTCTGCAACAGACGATCTCTGCAACTTCCAGCGAATTTTCCGGCGTTCTCTGCAACTTCCGGCGAATTTTCAGACGATTTCTGCAACTTCCGGCGACTTTTCCGACGATTTCTGCAACTTCCGGCAAGTTTCCGACAGTCTCTGCAACTTTCGACGAATTTTCCGATGATCTTTGCAACTTCCGGCGACTTTTCCGGATGGGCTCCAAAGGTCATTAGCTCCCTTTCTCTCCAAATCCCTCCAAATCTTGTCAATTTTGGAGGGATTTGGTTTTATTGTTTAGGAGAGATTTGGAGGGATCCCAATCCTTTCTTTTCTCTCCAAAACCCTCCATCCAAACACACCTATCCCTATCCTTCTCTTTCTTTTCTCTCCAAAACCCTCCAAATCCCTCAATCCAAACGAGGCCTTAGCGATGAGAAGTTAAAATTGGCTATAAATATTCTGACTATTGGTTAAGAGTTCAGAGAGCAGATACTGTTATTCATGCAAAAATGTCTGACCGGATATATGAGCTGATTAAATATGATCTTGATGAAAATACTAATATTGATTGGGTAAACGAAATGATGGAGGTTGTTTATGATGACAACAAACCTGAATTTCTCTCTCTTATGAAGAAGCTATATCGAAGATACGAAATGCCTAAAAAAAAAAAAAGTTGGGGAGGAGGAATTAGGCAGTAATCAAGCTCAATATTGCCCGCCAGATATTTTGGACGATATCTGTACCTATGGCGCAATAGATTGTGCCATGGCTTTTTTCTGTTGAGAGACCGGTTTCGTCGCCGATCTTAATGTTCCCAATATGTATGGATGTTATCCATTGCATTTAGCAGCTAATAGTTTATCTTGTGAAATGGTCGCATTGTTACTTTGCCACGGAGCTCGGACTGATGTCACAACCATAGAGGTAGAGGGTAGGTTGAGGGGTACTTGTCTCCTCTCAATGTGTCACTTGAAACAGTAAGTTATCATGGATACTTGATTGATTGGACTCCGAAACAATCTCTCTTCAAGTTGATCATTGTTCTTTGTCTGCCTCAAATGAAAGTAGCATTAGAAACTAATAGGTTGATTGCATCAAGAACAAAAGAGGCTGTGGTTGATAAAATATTCAACCATTATGCTATGGAGGGAGAGAAGTTATTGAAATGGCTACTCTGTTGATGGTTGCTCGAGAAAAGATTATGCCAAGCGTGTCAAATATCCGCGAAAACATCATTGAAGAGATTGTGGGACTAACAGGAAGATGAAATCAAATTGATGGGTAGTCATAAGAATGATAAGTTGGTTGAAGAGGCTGTTGGACTAACCGAAGATGAATGCAAATTGCTCGGAAGATATAAGATTGGTAAGTTGGTTCGGTCGCTTGATGATATTAAGGCAGCAATGACACGGGGACTGTTGTTACTCGTACTGTTTGAGAAGGCTGGTGCTGCTCTTGAAAAATACAGGCAATCCGTAAAAAGTGAAATGCCAAAAGAGAAGTTGGTCAATGACATTAAGGCGCTGCTTGAGAGAGAGGGGTTTGTTTGAAAGGACAAGGACATCAATTTAACTGACATAGACTGCGAAAGCAAAAGTATTAAGAAGGCAACAAAAGCATTAGAAAGGAGAACGACAGTTGGGTCTCGTTCAAAGGATCTCTACACGTCACTTGACTCAGAGTCGGATAGTTATTCGGGGCTATCAACATTTTTGAAATATAAGAGCTTTGCTTTTCGGCCTTCATCCCGCTCATACGTTACATTACCACTCATGGATAGAAAGAAGATGTATTCTTTTGCTATAAATGAATTTCATCCTAGTAGAACCTCAGCAATGAGAGCACCTGCAGCATATTTTCTATCAAGAAATCGATTTGACTCCTCTGCATTTGCAATAAAGAAGGGGATAACACGCATATGATTGGTTTGGCTAATCTTTGAAGGTCACAATTCTGAGAAAGCTTTGGAGTAGCACAGAAAAATATTACACATGACGAAGAACTATGAACTTCTAGGTGCTAAAGTCTTTTTACTGTAGGGGGTTTCATAATAAGTTTGTAATAGTGTTACCTTAAGTTTAATTTTAATGAAGGATGTAATTTCATTGTTGGATTTTCGAAAGAGTGATGTTTCTTTACCAGCTGATTCGGTTCAGACTGTATTTTTCTTCTCAATTTATTATTTTGCTCGTATTTATAAAACGTAATAGTGTAAAGCAGAGGATTTAAGACTCTTACCTTGTACTAATAAATATATATTTTTTGTAAGTATATGCTAACTATAATTGTATCAAATTGTAAAACAATTATTAATCTGACTAAAGAGTATGTACGCCAAATTTTGGAGGCTTTCAATCTTGCATTGCTTTCTAAGTAGTAAGTAGGGTTGGCGTCTCCAAGTTTTTCAGTCTAGGTTGGTTTACGAGCTTCTAAAAGGGATATAATTTCCTAATTCCTTGTTTTTGGATGCAGCAAAAGGTCAAACCCTCTTGGCTTTGGAGTAGTTTGCTGGCAGCAAAGGATGTGCTTAAAGCCGGTTTAATTTGGAAGATTGGTGATGGAAAGCTTGTTAGCAAGTGTGGGCTTTCTCCAAAAATGGTGAATTTACAGTCAAGTCTTCCTATCATGTGGCTTTACAAAACATTGCCCCTTGCCCAACTATTTTTTGATGCTCACAGAGAAAGCTGTTCATGCATCCCTCTCCATGGCTACTGGGGCCAACTGTGGTCTCTTAAAGTCAAGCCTAAGGTGCAGCATTTTTTATGGCGTTGTCTCCACGGTTGCATTTCAACTCAATTGGCGTTATGGAAGAAAGGGGTGGTGGAGGATGCTGTTTGCCAAGCCTGTGGTATGGAGGTGGAAGATCTGTTGCATATGTTGGGTGGTTGTTCTAGGCCAGCTCGAGTGTGGAAATTTTGTCCTCTCTGTGTGGATCCACTTGTTTCCTTGGGTTCTTGTTGGGCAGAGTGGTGGTTTGCGCTTGGTCAGTGGAATGCAAAGTGTTGTGTTTCCATGGGGAGTTATGGTCGGAACATGAAATAATTTCGATGGCTCTGTCTGTCCCAGTTCTTGGAATTTCTTGATGTGCTTGACCCTTGTGGTTTGGAGGAGGACAACGATAGAGGAGTTTTGCCTGTGTCATGGGCTAGCAGGAGGGATTGTGGTTCGTGATTGCAATGGTCAGCTGGTGGCTTCCATCACCTGCGTTTTTGCTGATGTTTGGGAGGCCTCTATTGCCATAGCCCTTGTTTTGAGGCATGCTGTGCAGGTTGTTAGTAGCTGGGGTTGTCTCTGAGTCGGATGCTCAGCTTGTGGTTAACGCTCTGCGCACTCTAGGTCATACCAGGTGAAGCTTCTTACCATAGTTGAAGACATTAAATGTTGGTTGCTTTAAATTTTAGCTAAATATGCTTTGAAAACAAAAAAATAATAATTTGTTGGATGAGAGAGCACATGTGATATGGAATGTCTATGAATGTGTCTATTGACTTGTGCTTCATCCAGATTGTTCAAGAGTATGTGTCTCTTAGTACCAACTAAGAGAGAAAAAAAAGAACTAATAGCATTGCTATAGATCACAGTAACAGTGAAGTTGTCTTCAAAAAAATAGCATAAAGAAACTACAGATGAATCCGACTTTATTTAGGCCTGAAATAAAATCACCAGACCTCATATGAAAACCTGAAAACCAACAAGGCCAGCAAGGTAAAGCATTTCATCAAATATGAATGAATCAGAAAAAATGCCACTGTAAGTGCAAAAAACTTGCTTCATTTGTTATAAATTGCAATGTAACACAATTCGTTTGGCTTTATTTTTTCAAAGCATCAATCATCCTAAATTTCATTTGTTTGCCTCTATCCAGGTGATACGAGGCTGTCTACATGGATAGTTGCATGAAAAGTCTCAATTTCTTCAATGTCAGGTTTGACAATATCCCTATATGTAATATTTTTTGTCCGGTAAGTAACACCCCTATATGTTCTCTCTCTTGCGTTGTATAAAACTAACCTAGTGTGATCTAACAACAGAGCTTCATCATTCCCCAACAAACCCAATGGCTCCAAGGTATATCTAAATGGGACTTTAATATCAAGTTTAGTCCAAGACTCGCACACCCCATATTCCTTCATAACCCAAAGTGCATCATGTAACGGTAGTACACAAAGGCATCCTTCAAACAACAGTAGGTGGCAATGGCGATGGACGAAGGAAGTAGGCAAGGGAATCCTCCTCAGTTTCTCATCCGCCAAACTAAATGCAGCAATCTCTAATGATGTGTGGAAATCAAGCCAATGAATGGCTCCATTCAGGCGCGTCATAACTTGAATACCACGCTCAGGAAAGTCTTCAACTTTTCTCAAGAACTATTTCTCAGTGAATATACATAGATGTTATAGCTGGTTATTTTCACCAATTTGTAATCATCAGAGCAATGGTCATAGCCAAATCCGACCGTGTTACACGCACTTGAACCGCAACAGAGACTTAACGGGCAATTTTGAGAGTATTTCGGAAAGCAGACTGTGGGGAAGGTAAGGCAAAGGCATGGTCGCTTGGATTTGTTAGATATCTGTGCTGCTAATGTACACGTTCTCTGAAACAAAGTGCCAAAGTCGGTTATGACTTAGTCTTTGCATCCAAAAGGGATTCGAAGAAGAGATAAAAGGAATGTACTACGAGCCCTTGGACTTAGTCTGTAAAGTTGATTAGTTTTTTAATTTATTTAATAATAATATTTTTTAAAATACTCTATTGTTAATTTTACAATAATAGATGTTGGATGATGACAACTTTATTAAGAAGGAGTTTAAATGTCTTTACAAAAAAATAAAATTGTCTAATGAAAAAAAGCTGCCAAAAATATTTAACTTCTACTCACATAATTTTGAAAGGTGCAAATTTGTTTCATTCAAAACAAGCTAAATTTGGTAATTATTAAAACCGTTTTAATGATTAACAAACACATCTAAACACAATTTTTAAAAATAAAAGGGTTTTTTAAGTAGTAAAGAAGCCATCCCGTGCTCTACAACCATTTTATTGTTTAATTCTTAATTGAGTTTTATTTGAGATAGAAATTCCTTGATAAGATCATAAATAAAAGACTATTTTTTGACATTCTATTGCTAATTTTACAATAATATCCTTTAATATTATGTTACTATATTTGATAGTAGTAACTTTATTCAGGAAGTGGTGTCATTGTCGTTATAAGAAATAAATCCACAAAATATTCAACCTCTACTCAAAATGTAATTTTATAAGCTTTAAATTATAGATTCATTCAAACGCACTACCAAACTAAATTTGATAAACGTAATTTTTTAAAATAAAAACATTTTTAAGCAGTTGAAAAGCAATCCCATATGTCTACTTTAGATATATAATTTATTAGTATAAAAAACATATTAGTTAACTTTTATTTAAAAATTATTCTTCTTGTCTTTCTAAATGCAAAAATGTTAATTAAAATTTTGTATTCTAGTTTTTTTATAATATATTTTTAAATAGATTATATAGTTTTTTTTAGATTATATAGTTAATTTCAATCAATAATCTATTTTCTCTTTATATATATATATATAAATATATTTATTTATTTTTTCATATTAAGATTCACAGTTGGAAATCTTGGAATTGGCATATTAAAAAAATTAAAATAACACACTTTATATTGAAATCTTTCTACCATAATAATAATAATAACTTATAAAGTTCAAAGAACAAGAAAAGCTTATTTTACGTATGCTATGTGCAGCATTCAGTTTCTCGTCACATAGGCATGAGAGCATAAAAAAGAAATATCAGGAGCGTCACACATATATATATGGGTGAATATTATACCATGCCATCCCAAATTGAAATGAAATTATTCAAATTTCTATAAGTTGGTTATCCCAACTTCTCAAACAAATTAACTAGTTGGTTATCCAAATTTTATGAAATTATTGTACACAACATAAATTTAGTCGCAAGAAGTAGAAAATAAAGCACAACCATATCCATAATAATTAGAACCTCATTCCCTTACTATATATTCTCATGCTCACATTTGTATCATGTGATTATGAGACATTTAAAAGAAAATTTTCATCCATAAAACTAATACTATGGTTGGTTACAGGGATAAATTGAGGAGGGATGAATAAGAGGGGATAAAAGGACTTTTCTGTGTTTGTTGGAGAGAAGGGAAAAGAGTGAGGAAGTAAAGAGAGGGATGAAGCATCCCTTATTGCTTTGTATTTTTGAACTTAAGTTGGAGGGAAGAGGAGAGAGAAAGAACCAATAAAATATCAAGAGAGAGAGAACGGAAAAGAGTGAGGAAGTTAAGGTTGATTTACTTTTATTAGAAACTTGAATTCATTTATTCAATGTTTCATATCTTGAAAAGATGGAAGAAATATTGAATTTGCTTGAATGAATATTATTGATACTGAATCGTGTATTTGTACAGGGAGATTTCTAATCATTCCTATAAGTCAGGAATCTGTTACTACATTATAGGTTGTCTAGCTATAAGTTAGGCATTATAATAGCAAAGATAATATATACAGATTATCTATTCTAAATATGGAAGATATGAAAGGTTGACTTCCTAACACTCCCCCTCAAGTTAGAGAGTGGATATCCGGTACTCCCAACTTGTGAATCATAGGAACAAAGATCTCTTTCCCCAAAGGCTTGGTCAAGACGTCTGCTAGCTGATGTGCAGAATGTACATATCTTGTAGTCACGGAACCATCTTGGATCTTGTCTCTAATGTAATGGCAATCCATCTCAATGTGCCTAGTTCGCTCATGAAAAATTGGGTTGGCCGCAATGTGTAAGGTAGCCTTGTTGTTGCAATATAGCAAGGCAGATTCATGATGTGAAAGTCCCAAGTCCCTCAATAGATATCGGAGCCATGTTAACTCACAGCAGGCTCCTGTCATTGCACGGTATTCCACCTCGACGGAAGAGAGAGAAACTGTTTTCTGTAGTTTCGACCTCCAAGATATCAATGAAGGTCCAAGAAAGACACAATATCCCGTAGTAGATCTCCTAGTGAGTGGGCAACCTGCCCAATCCGAGTCACAGTAAGCCCTTAACTTGAAATCACTATTCGAAGAGAAGAATAGGCCTTGGCCAGGTGCACCTTTTAGATATCGGACAACCCGAAGAGCTGACTCTATATGAAGTTTTCGAGGTTGGTACATAAATCTACTCAAGACATGTACTGCATATGTTATATCTGGCCTCGAAACAGTCAAATAAATTAATCTACCGACTAATCTTCTATACTGACCCTGATCTTTGAGCAAATCGCTCTTGTCCGATAATTTCAAGCCTCATTCTATAGGAGTATCAATAGGGGCTATGCCCAACAGCCCTGCATCCTCAATGATTTCTAATGCATACTTATGTTGGGAAATAAAAATCCCGTTCTTAGAATCAGAAACCTCAATACCAAGAAAGTATTTCAAATCACCAAGATCTTTGAGATTAAAATGACTATGCAGAAATTTTTTAGTTGCAGCAATGTTAACAAGGTCATTTCCAGTAATCAAAATATCATCAACATATATTAAGAGAGCAGTAAAGGACTTGTCTTGTTTTCTGTTGAATAGAGAATAATCGGCTCAAGATTGTATATAACCAGCGGAGCGAATAGCTTCTGAGAACTTGGCGAACCACTAGCGAGATGCTTGTTTCAAACCGTACAATGACTTATGAAGGCGACACACCAAGTTTTCCTCCCCCTGTCGCCGAAGCCCTGGCGGCGGAGACATATATATTTCTTTAGCTAAATCGCCGTGAAAAAAGGCATTGTTGATGTCCATTTGAGGAAGGGACCAGCCACGAGCTGCGGCCAACGCGAGCAAGCAGCGAATGGAGATGATCTTGGCAGTGGGGGAAAAAGTATCCTGATAATCGACACCTTCCAGCTGAGTGAAGCCCTTAGCGACCAATCGGGCTTTGTACCTCTCGATAGATCCATCTGAATGGTGTTTAATTTTATGCACCCATCTACAGCCAATTGGTGTCTTGCCAACCGGGAGTGGAGTGAGAGACCAAGTGCTGTTGGCTTGGAGAGCCTACAATTCGGAACGCATTGCTTCCTGCCACTCAGGATGAGCGGCGGCTTCCGAATAAGACCTAGGTTCTGTGATATTACTGATTTGAGCAACAAAAGATCGATATGTAGGCTTATATCTTTGATATGAAACATAATTTGCCAATGGATAGCGTGTACCTTTGGTCGAACCCGGCAGTAAGGAGGCCGATTGGTCGGAGCAAACGTTGGAGCAGACATAATCGTTGAGCTTGACCGGCGGACAGGTGTGGCGGCTGGAGCGACGAAACAGAGCTAGTTCGGGTTCGGGCGCCGGAGAAGGTGAAGTGGATGGTGGTGATGGACTTTCAGAGACGATGGGAGAGGATGGTCCCGGCGGAGGAAAGGAGGCAGACACGGGCAGTGGACTTGGAGAAGAAGGAGGTGATGTGTTTGGATTTGGATTGACTGTATGATCGTGTGGTGATGTGTTTGGGTTGGAATTAAAAGGATAAGTGATGTCGTTAGCCACAAGAGGAATTGGGCCAGAATTTGTGTTTGAAGGAGAAAGAGCAGAATGGGGCTTGACAGATGCATAAGGAAAAATATTTTTATGAAATTTTACATCGCGGCTAGTGAAAACCTTTTTGGTCGACAAATCGAATAATTTGTATGCCTTTTGACCGATGAGATAGCCAATAAAAATTAAGGGTATGGAACGATGGTTAAATTTGTGAGAAGTATGGACATTACTAGCATAGGCTAAACAACCAAAGACACAGAGATGAGAAAAAGAAGGTGGTTTTAAGTAGAGAAGTTCAAAAGGTGTTTTGAAAGAGGGAACCGGAGAAGGGAGTCGATTGATGATGTGTACAGCAGTAAGAGCACATTCCCCCCAAAATTGGATAGGGAGTTGAGCTTGAAATTTCAAAGCTCGAGCTACTTGTAAAATGTGACGATGCTTGCGTTCCACAACCCCATTTTGTTGAGGTGTGTAAACACAAGAATGCTAAAAAATGACACCATTATCTTGTAAAAAAGAATGAATTGAGATAAATTCTCCACCATTGTCACTTTGAAAAATCTTAATGTGAGACTCAAATTGAGTGAGAACATAACTGAAGAATCGTTTTAAAAGTGATTGTGCTTTATCTTTATGTCGCATAAAAAAAATCCATATGAAACGTGTATAATCATCAACAATAGTAAGAAAGTAATGAGCACCAAAGAAAGAAGGGTGTCGATAACGACCCCAAATGTCACAATGAATTATTTCAAAAGGTTTAATAGAAGAAATTACACTAGGACTGAAAGGTAAACGACTTTGTTTAGCCAAAGGACATATAGGGCAAACATTATTGGACTGAACGGAAAAATTTTAAAAATTCTTGGCAATGAAACTTAAACGAGGAGGTGCGAGATCGGTGGATGAGATGGTGAGATTGCAGGCTGGTTGGTTTGTGGGTGAGGAAGAGTTCGTCACAGATTTCTTCGTCGTTAGTGCCACCAAATAGTATAGTCCGTCACATTGTTTACCTAAACCAATAATCCTCCTCGTAGCCAGATCCTGCAAAATACACCAATGAGGGAAAAAAATTACTAAACAATTCAAGCCTCTCGTCAGACGACTAATTGACATTAAATCAACTTTGAATGTAGGTACACATAGCACATCATGCATTTAATAGACAGAATTCAGAGGCAATGATCCTTTTGCAACAATATTAGCTTTTTCTTCGCTAGGCAGTAGTACGGGAGGCAACGAGCAATTTTTATCTTTGCGGAAAAATGATTTAGATGATGAAGAAATATGATCTGTCGCCCCGTTATCAATGATCCAACCGTGAGAAGTGACTTTAGACAAACCTGGCTTGGTTACGGCATTTGCTTGAGAGCTAGATCCTTCATTTTTGTTGTCAAGAATTGATAAGAGCTGTTTTAATTGAGCCTCCAAAATCCCAACAACTTGGTTTCCGTCTTCTTTAGAAAAGCCCTCGGACACATGATTAGCTGTAGGCTTGTTATTATTGTTGAAACGTCTTGGGCCTGAATTATACTTTGCCTTTGGATGGCCCGCTGGATTCCCATGTAGCTCATAACAGGTTTGAACCCAGTGGCCCATTTCTCCACAGTGGGAACAATGAGGGCGTCCTCTTCCAGAGCCAGAATGACGCTTGTCTTGATCAAATCGGTGTCCTCCACTGAAATTCTCTGGTGACTTTTCTTGTGATCGGAAATCCTGTGACCCATATGGGCGGTCGGATCGCTCGGACCTCACTGGAGTGGGTTTGCTGCTGTTGCTTCGAACTGCCATGTCGGCGCTGCTGCCAGAATCACTTGCAGTGTGCGTTGAGCTCAGAAGACGCTGTTTTTCTTCTTGAGAGACAGAGGAATATGCTTGGCGAACTGAAGGAAGTGGATTCATCACGAGGATTTGTCTGCGAATAGCATTGTAAGAATCATTCAATCCTATCAGAAATTGCATCAATTTTTGTTGATCTTGCTGTGCCCCATGTACCGCATTGTTGTAGGAAGCTAGTTCATCCCATAGGCCCTTCAATTTTGTGTAATAGGCAGAGACAGAGAGTTGTTCTTGTCGAAGATAGGCAATATCTCGTTGAATTTCAAAGATGCGAGGTGCATTGCTTCGAGAGAATCGCTCACAAAGATCTTCCCAAACTTCATGAGCAGTAGAGTAATAGATCACACTGTCTTAAATTTCTGGACTGAGAGTGTTAACGATCCAGGAGTGGACCATATCATTACACCGAGACCAAGCCGCATAACCTTCAGGATCAGCTTTTTCTAAAGGGGCTTTGATTGAGCCAAGCCCAGCTTTTTTTTTGGAATTTAAAGCCAGAGTCATAGCCCTTTTCCAAGTAGAATAATTGTCTCCATTCAAAAGTTTGGAAATCAAAACCAAACCCGAATGATCTGAATGATGAGTGAAATAGGGATTTGAGATATTCGCCTTAAAAGGATCTGTAGAAGTGTTAGGAACGACAATTTCTTTGCCAATGATAGAAGGCGTTGGTGGTACTTCATCATTGGCCATGATGGCTGAAAAAGAGAGATGCTACACGAGATATTAGAGTGCAGCGATGAGTCAGGATCTTAGTACTGCTCTGATACCATGAAAAGATGGAAGAAAGATTGAATTTGCTTGAATGAATATTATTGATACTGAATCGTGTATTTGTACAGGGAGATTTCTAATCATTCCTACAAGTCAGGAATTTGTTACTACATTATAGGTTGTCTAGCTATAAGTCAGGCATTACAATAGGAAAGATAATATATACAAATTATTTATTCTTAATATGGAAGATATGAAAGGTTGACTTCCTAACATATCTAACCTCTAAATCCACAAAAATACTTGGTAGTTATATTGTGATGCAGCCTTATAATTTTATTTAGCCGCTAGGAATGAGAAAAAAGAATGAAACATACTTTCATTATTTGGTAAATGAGGGAGGAAGATGAAAAAAATATACTAGCTTACTGGTCACGAACATACCGAGCAAATCGAGATAGAGCTCGGCTCGTTTGCTTAACAAACGAACTTTAGTCGAGTCCGAATTATTCATGAACAACTTTCTGTGCATTTGAAGCCCTACCCTCACCTTTTGGGAAGCTAATGTTATATCAAGCGGACCAATAACGGGTGATAAAATAATTCAATTTTGACCAAAATTACTCCAATATGTTTTATAAAAAGTATTCCTATCACGAAAATTCAGTTTAAAAACAATGAAAAATAGTTTTATAGCTTGGTGCGTAAATAAAAGGTGTGAACTAATAGCATTGTTGTTCAACAACTAGTGGCCTAGCCGGCCCTCGTAGTCTTCTAGTTCTAGATTAGATTTCTTATGACCCAAAAGGACAAGAATAAAAGAAAACCATAAAGAAACCAGTACTTAAAAAAAAAAAAAAATACTAAAGATATATCTAACATTGAAAAAAAAAATTCAAGAAATATTCACAATACCTCATAAGAAAACCAACATGGCCCACAAGGTAAAGTTAGTAGGTTTTTCTCACCCAAAAAATAATACATTCGGGTCAAAGTCAGAAACAGACTTGTTGAAGTTTTCAGAATTTTGTCAAGCATCAAATATGAATGAATCAGAAAAAATGCCATAGTAAGTGCAAAAAACTTGCTTCATTTGTTATAAATTGCAATGTAACAAAATGAATCCCACTTTATTTAGGCCTGAAAAATAAAAAAAAAATCAAGAAATATTCACCAGACCTCATGTGAAAACCTGAAAACCAACAAAGCCAGCTAGGTATAGCATTTCATCAAATATGGATGAATCAGAAAAAATGCCGACACGTCAATCCTCCTAAATTTCATTTGTTTGCCTCTATCTAGGTGATACGAGGCTGTCTACATAGATTGTTGCATAAAATATATCCCCATATGATTCTTTTTTTTTCCTATAAGTAACATTTTTTGTCCGGTAAGTAACATCCCTATACGTTCTCTCTCTTGCATTGTATAAAACTAACCTATTGTGATCTAACAACAGAACTTCATCATTCCCCAACAAACCCAATGGCTCCAACGTATTTCTAAATGGGACTTTAATATCAAGTTTAGTCCAAGACTTGTACACCCCATATTCCTTCATAACCCAAAGTGCATCATGTAAATTATGTACATAAAGGCATCCTTCAAACACCAGTAGTTGGCAATTGTTGGAGGAAGTAGGCAATGGAATCTTCCTCAGTTTCTCATCCGCCAAACTAAATGCAGCAATCTCTAATGATCTAGAATACCAATCAGCTGCGTCATATCGGAAATAAAGCCAATGAATGGCTCCATTCAGCTGCGTCGTATGACCCATAACTTCATGAATACAATGCTCAGGAAAGTCTTTAACTTTTCTCCAAAAACCATTTCTCAGTGAATATACATAGATCCTATAGTCGGTTATTCTCGCCAATTTGTAATCATCAGAGCAATGGTCATAGCCAAATCCGAGGATACCCATATTTAGGGTCGCACCCTCAGGGAAATAGAAATTGCAATTTGGTATTTTTGGTATTTGCTTGGACTCCCTCGTCGAGAGATTGAATACATATATGGAAAAATAGTCTACCTGCATGCATGTCAACCCGTTGCAAGAACCAATGATTTGACATCGACGATGGTTCTGAAATAAAAAATCAATCTTTTCCAGTACAATGTCAGTACTGGCTGATCCGAAGCTTGCCGCTTAGAGACGGGAAAGGCGATGATCTGGAAGACGGGAAACCGGATCGTCTGTGGCTATGAGTATCCGGTGTGTTTGGATGTTGGAGTTTGTGAGTGATTGAATTGATTGAGGTGGGTTTTGATGAAGTGGGAGTCAGAGATCAAAGAGTGCAATGGCTTCGACGCGCACTTGAATCGCAACAGAGATTTGACGGGCAGTTTTGAGAGTATTTCGACAAGCAGACTGTGGGGAAGGTAAGGCAAAGGCATGGTGGCTTGGATTGGTTAGATATCTCGATCTGCTTCTAGTATACATGTTCTTTGAAACAAAGTGCCAAAGTCGGTTATGACTTTAGTCTTTGCATTCTAAAGGGACTCGAAGAAGAGATAAAAGGCCGGAATGTACTGCGAGCCCTTGGGGGTGGTTGTTGGAAATTGAAAAAAAAATAAATAAAATAAAAAAACAAAAACAAAAAAACAAAACTTTTTTAAGCAATAAAGAAGCAATCCCAATTGAGATAGGAATTCCTTGATGAGAGGCCATCATAATTGGATAAATAAAAGACTGTTTTTGACAAGGCAGAGGTTTTAATAAGAGAAAATTGTGTGTCTACGACTCTACTATAGATATATAATTTATTAGTATAAAAAACATATTAATTAACTTTAATTTAAAAATTATTCTTCTTGTCTTTCTAATGCAAGAATGTTAATTAAATTTTTTTATTCTATTTTTTTTAAAAATAATATGACGTGTTATTATAAATTTTCTGAATAAGTATCGTTGTTAATACTCCTGATTGTTTCTATAAAATATGTCAATATCCCTTTATTTTTTCTTTTCAGTTTTCCATAACTCATTTCTTTTCAGTTTTCCATAATCGTACCTCTTTTCCCATTAATGTTTTTGGTATCTCACGTTTTTTTTGCGTTTTTGGTTAATCTCTCTTTTTCTCTTGCATCCTACCTTTTCTAAACTCTTTCTATATTTTCTATTGACTTTCTATTATCTTTCTCATTAGGGTTTGGTATTGATCTTTATAAATAATAATGAAATATTTCACAAATGAAAGAATAAAAGAGTTAGAACGATGTAATTGGTCTTGTTAGCATAAAAAAAATATTGAATAACTATTTAATATTTATTTTAATATTTGCCATCCCAAATTGAAATGAAATTATTCAAATTTCTATAAGTTGGTTATCCCAACTTCTCAAACAAATTAACTAGTTGGTTATCCAAATTTTATGAAATTATTGTACCCAACATAAATTTAGTCGCAAGAAGTAGTAAATAAAGCACAACCATATTCATAATAATTATAACCTCATTCCCTTATTATATTCTCACGCTCACATTTGTATCATGTGATTATGAGACATTTAAAAGAAAATTTTCATCCATAAAACTAATACTATATTTGCTTGCAGGGATAGATTGAGGAGGAATGAATAAGAGGGGATAAAAGGACTTTTCTGTGTTTGTTGGAGAGAAGGGAAAAGAGAGAGGAAGTAAAGAGAGGGATGAAGCATCCCTTAGTGCTTTGTATTTTTGAACTCAAAATTGGTGGGAAGAGGAGAAAGAAAGAACGAATAATTATCACAAATATTAGGATAGAGAAAGAACGGAAAAGAGTGAGGAAGTTAAGGCTGATTTACTCGTGAATTCATTTATTCAATGTTTCATATCTTAAATTTGAGTATTATAGCTAACCTCTAAATCCACAAAAATACTTCGTAGTTATATTGTGATGCAGCCTTTTAATTTTATTTAGCCAATGCTAGGAAGGAGGAATGAGAAAAAAGAATGAAATATACTTTCATTATTTGGTAAATGAGGGAGGAAGTTGAAAAAAATATACTAACCTATTGGTCACGAACATATCGAGCAAATCGGGATAGAGCTCGGCTTATTTGCTTAACGAATGAACTTGAGCCGAGCCCGAATTATTCATAAGTTCCTTTGAAGCCCTACTCTCAACTTTTGGGGAGCTAATGTTATATCAAGTGGACCAATAACTGGGGATAAAATAATTCAATTTTGACCAAAATTACTCCAATATGTTTTATAAAAAATATTCCTATCACGAAAATTCAATTTAAAAACAATGAAAAATAGCTTTATAGCTTGGTGCTTAAATAAAGGGTGTGAACTATATTGTTGTTCAACAGGGCAGTGATGAGTGACCTAGCGGTATTAAATCCTTACTTCTCAAAGAAAAGTTAGAGGTTCAAGCCTCTTGGAGGCATGTGTTAGTACCAATTAAGAGAAAAAGAAAAAACTGATAGCATTACTGTAGATCAATGTAGTTCAGATTAGATCACTTATGAAGGCCAAGAATAAAAGAAAACCTAACTAATACCATAAAGAAACTAATACTTATAAATATAATAAAATAAAAAACACCAAAAAAAAAAATAATAATAATAATAATAAATAAAATAAAAAACTAGCAAGCAAGTTAAAGTTAGTGGGTTTTTTTCACCCAAAAAATACTCCATTCGGGTCAAAGTGAGAAACAGATTTTAGTGTCCAGAATTTTGTCACGCATCAAATATGAATGAATTAGAAAAAAAGCCACTGTAAGTGCAAAAAACTTGCTTCATTTGTTATAAATTGCAATGTAACACAATTTGTTTGGCTTTATTTTTTCTACACATCAATCCTCCTAAATTCCAGTTGTTTGCCTCTATATAGTGATACGAGGCTGTCTACGTAGATAGTTGCATGAAAAATCTCAATTTCATGAATGTCAGATTTGACAACATCGCTATATGTTATATTTTTTGTCCGGTAAGTAACAGCCCTACATGTTCTCTCTCTTGCGTTGTATAAAACTAAGATAGTGTGATCTAACAATAGAGCTTCATCATTCCCCAACAAACCCAATGGCTCCATGGTATTTCTAAATGGGACTTTAATATCAAGTTTAGTCCAAGACTTGTAAACCCCATATTCCTTCATAACCCAAAGTGCATCATGTAGTGGTACTGGTAGTACACAAAGGCATCCTTCGAACACCAGTAGTTGGCAATGGCGATCGGTGAAGGAAGTAGGCAAGGGAATCTTCCTCAGTTTCTCATCCGCCAAACTAAATGCAGCAATCTCTGATGTGTAGTCAGAATCCGAATCTAATGGGAAATAAAGCCAATGAATGGCTCCATTCAGCTGCGTCGTATGATCCATAACATGAATACCAATGTCTTCAACTTTTCTCCAAGAATCATTTATCACTGAATATACATAGATGCTATGTCGGGTTATTTTCACCAATTTGTAATCATCCGAGCAATGGTCATAGCCAAATCCGACCATGTTAATACCGTAACAGAAATCGCAATCGCAATATTCTGCTAAGGATCAATTCAATAAAAGAAAAGCAATTGGGGTTGATCTTGAAACAATTCATTGCATTTTACCCTAGACTTGCTAGGGAAATCCATTTTCTCATTCAAGAATGAGCCGCTGGCTACTATGGGTCAATATCTGTAAATTTTCGCGCAACACCAATGTGGTATTTGCTTGGACTTCCTCGTGGAGAGATTGATTACATATATGGAAAAAGAATCTGCCTTCATGCATGTCAACCCGTTGCAAGAACCAATGATTTCACATTGACGATGAAGATGGGTCTGGGATAAAAAACCAATCTTTTCTAGTACAATGTCATTATTGGCTGATCCGAAGCTTGAAGTGTAGAGGCGGGAAGGGGAGTGGTCTGTGGCTATGAGTATCCGGTGTGTTTGGATGTTGGGGTTTGTGAGTGATTGATTGAGGTGGGTTTTGATGAAGTGGGAGTCAGAGATCAAAGAGCGCCATGACTTTGACACGCACTTGAATCGCAACAGAGACTTGACGGGCAATTTTGAGAGTATTTCGACAAGCAGACTGGGGAAGGTAAGGCAAAGGCATGGTGGCTTGGATTTGTTAGATATCTCTGCTTCTAATATACATGTTCTCTGAAACAAAGTGCCAAAGTCGGTTAGGACTTTTGACTCTTTGCATCCTAAAGGGATTCGAAGAAGAGATAAAAGGAATGTACTACGAGCTCTTGGGGGTGGTTGTTGGAATTTTTTTTTTTTTTTTTAAGTAATAACTTTTTTTTAAGTAATAAATAAGCAATCCCAGACGGGCTCTACAACCAGTTTATTGTTTAATTCTTATTTGAGTTTTATTGAGATAGAAATTTCTGGCCATCATAATTGGATAAATAAAAGACTGTTTTTGACAAGGCAGAGGTTTTAATAAGGGAAAACTGTGTGTGTCTCCAACTCTACTTTAGATATATAATTTATTAATATAAAAAACATATTAATTAACTTTAATTTAAAAACTATTCTTCTTGTCTTTCAAAATGCAAAAATGTTAATTAAAATTTTGTATTCTAGTTTTTTTATAATATATTTTAAAATATATTATATAGTTAATTCCATACAATCATTCTATTTACTTTATATATATATTTATATTAAGATTCTCAGTTGAATTATTAGAATCCTTGATTGATGCTAAAATCAAGCGGCTGTTACACTTGAATCACCGCCTTCGAGTTTTAGCCAAAAATCAAGTTGTTGTTACACTTGAATTGCTGCCCCAAAATTCGGCCTTGATTTTTGTCCACATGTACTAAGTTTATTCTTGTAATTATTATCAGAATAATTTTTAATTGGCTATTTATACGGAATACAACTAATTGGAGGGCTCCACTTCCTTATTTGTTGTATAATTGGTCAAATTTAAAAAATAGATCTAACAATTCACTGCAGGATTCCACTTCCTTATTTATTGTATATTTGGCCAAATTTAAAAAAATAGATCTAACAATTCACTGCAATTATTCGATGCAAAAATCATTTTCCTTTTTGTAACAAGTTTCTATAAATTTTTAGGACTTAGCTTCCTAAACTCATGTAACTAGTTTAGCATATATGATATACTCAATCAATGAAAGAAATTACCTTGCACAGAATTTTTTAACAAGAATAGACATATTAACAGAATTTTTTAAATTGAAATATTTCTACCATAACAATAATCACAACTTGTAAAGTTCAAAGAACAACAAAAGCTTGTATGTTATGCGCCTCATTCAGTTTCTCAAGTTCTAACACTTGGGTCACAGAGGCATGGGAGCATAAAAAAGAAATATCAGGAGAGTCATACATATATATATACATACATATATATATATACATATGTATATATATATATATATGGGTGCATATTATACCATCCCAAATTGAAATGAAATTATTCAAATTTATATAAGTTGGTTATCCCAACTTCTCAAACAAATTTAATAGTAGGTTATCCAATTTTTATGAAATTATTGTACACGACATAAATTTAGTCAAAAGAAGTAGAAAATAAAGCACAACCATATTTATAATACTTAGAACTTCATTCCCTAATGAATCTCATCTGTTTGTCTTCGGTATGACATTTAAAAGAAAATTTTCATCCATAAAACTAAACTAATTTTATGTTTGGCTGGCGGGATAGATTGAGAAGGAATGAATAAGAAGAGATAAAAGAACTTTTAGGTGTTTAGTTGAAGTAAAGGGAAAATAGTGAGAAAGCAAGGAGGGATGAAGCATCCATTCCTGCTTTGTATTTTCTTTCTCAAAACCAGAGGGAAGAGGAGAAAGAAAGAGGATAATTACCACAATTATTTGATTTTCATTTTTTTGCCTTTATCAAAAATTTGGAATGAACATGTAATTTTTAAAATTGTAATATTACTACGGTATAATTTAAGTCACACAAGACAACATCTGCAAAGCACGAGAGCCAAGCATGCGAGAAAAAAAATCACATTTTGTCATTCACTCCGCGTGACCAGGGTACATGTTGCGATTGATGATAGTCTGGTTGATGAAAAGGTCATTAAAAGCTTGCTCAAAATCTCCTCGTGTAAAGGTACAATTTTTTTCTCCAATTCATTAATAAATAAACACACATATACACAAATATATGGTATATATGACCATATACACATATTTATGTATACGTATTTGTGTATACACAGGATGTACGTGTTGTTTTAGGAGTTTTGTTTGAGATTGTGAATGGACTGTAAAATGCTATTACAGTAATAACAGTGGACAATAGAAGGAGAGCTCTGCTAAGGTTACTATATTCTTCTCTCTCATTTTCAAGGTGTATGAAACCTAGAACCAAATCGGTTTGTTTCAGTTCTATTTGGTTTGGTTTTAATTTTTGTACATTCGTTAGACCTTGTTTGGTTTCAAATTACTCCCAAACCGGTCCGAACTGAACACCATGTGCACAACGGTATCCAACAGCGAATGTTTTAGACTTCTAGCTAAATATGCTAAAACAGCAAGTGAACTACACTTTTGAATTGTGCATATACTTTGAAAAAAAAAAAAAATTGTATATATAGCATTATTAGATGGCTCTTACGATAACCCAAAGAATAGAAAGAAGCCAGCCAAACATGAATAAGTAAAACGCCACTGTAAGTGCAAAAAAACATATAGCTTCATCTGTTATAAATTTCAATGTAAATTTTTGCAACACATCAATCATCTAAATTTCTTTTGTTTGCCTCTATCCAGGTGATTGGAGACCATCTACATACATAGTTGCATGAAAATTCTTAATTTCTCCGTTGTCAGGTATGACAACATCATTCTTAGCTTCTCCGACGTCAGGTATGACAACATCCCTGTATGTTCTCACTCGTGTTATATAAAACTAACCTAGTCTGATCCATCAACAACATATCTTCACCATTCCTCAACAAACCCAATGTCTCCAAGGTATTTAAAAATGAGATTAGCGAGTCGAACACCCTATTTGCCCCACAAGGTTTTGAAGTCTTTGGTTTTCTCCAAAGCTTCCTCGAGGTCTTGAGCTAGGGTCTCCTCATTTGGCGAGAAAGTTCACGAACCAGGATTTTCTGTACCCTGAAAGGGCAAACCCAGTAGTTGGCTTACATCTCCGAACCCGGAGGTCTGAACCGTTAGCAGAATCCTTACTCGAACCCGAGGTCACCTAAGTCATTCCCACTATTTCTAAGGTTAAAACATCATTATTAAGGTCATAGCTATGCTTTACAGCGACTCATTACAAATGCCCAAGATTTGGAATAGGATACATTGAGGAGAAGGACCAAATGAGTGAGAGGCTTACCTTCCCAATTAAGCCTGGTGAAGAGGCCCAGCAAGATGATTCCAGCAGCAGTCATATAAAGATAGATAAGCAAAATCGGCAAAAATATATGTAGAGCCGATTCTGTACTCATTTCAATAAAGCATTTTCCCAACTATTTGGGATCGGTTATATAAATCTTGTTTCACCATTAGGTTCATTCCAATGCCAATATATTCTTTTTACGACCTTGAACAACACCTAATTTTCTTCAAATCTCGTCGTCTTCTCTGCAAAAAAGTTGATTTTTAGGATAACATACTAATGAGATGCTCTAAAGGAGCAGACTCCGAACCCTTCAATAGATATTAGAGACAGTTCCCATTGAGAAAATTTTCAATTCAAATGTTGCAGAAGTTGGAGTTCAGGAGTCTTGTATATGCGTTGCAGTTGTATACTTGAGCACAAATCCGGGTACAAAGAAAGGTAAATACTTTACACTCTTAATATTTAATTTCTTTTGTTTATAAACTAAATATAAATTGGTACTCCATAAAATAGAGAAGAGTGAATGTTAAATTTTAAGGAAGAGGGAGTTTCAAATTATAATTTTTTGTAATTGGCTAATTTCGATGTCAAAACAAGTCCGATCGAGTTATAATTCTCAAGTTACCATATCAAGATCGAGATTGGCTTCAAAATTGTAAGGTTGTTCAAATTTGATAAACTTTGATCTACCCCTATGTTATATCACACTCTTTAGGAGATATATAAAGATACAGATTTCACTAATATAGTATCCAAATATTGGACACGAAACTGCCTTAAAAACATTACCATACCTAAACATATGATTATGAATTAAATGTGATCCCTTTATTTGATGACATCATATGGTATAACGAAATAGATAAACGGGATTCAGTAGTGACGTAGCGAGAACGAATTGACTACAACCTCACATAAACTTGAAAAAGCTGAAAGTTAAGTTCTATGCGGGCACGAAATTTCTAAGATGGATAGGCAAACCATCCTTTTCTAAAATGGTGAACCTCAGTCTTGTTGGGTGTAGAAAATGTAGATCTTTACCACCATTGGAGCAAATATCCAAGCTGAAACCCGTGGTTCTAGAATCGAGGGGTATCACACCAGCATAGTATCATGCAAAATTAAAAACGATTTTCCTCACATTAAATAGG